GGGAGGGGGAGAGAGAGAGAGAGAGAGAGAGAGAGAGTGTGAGCATAGGAGGGTCAGAGAGAGAGAGGAAGGAGGGGCAGAGAGAGAGAGGAAGACACAGAATCTGAAACAGGCTCCAGGCTCTGAGCTGTCAGCACAGAGCCCGTCGCAGGGCTTGAACCCATGAACTGTGAAATCATGACCTAAGCCAAAGTCGGACGCTTAGCTGACTGAGCCACCCAGGTGTCCCTACTCTTCCACTTTAGAAACTATTTAGAAACCAACATCCTCAAGTAGTAATGGCCCTTGGGTTCCGATCTACTTGTGAAAAACCAAAATGTATCTATAGATCATATTAGGTGAGGAATTTCTACACTGGTCTAGAGTGGCCTTCCTAGATTCGTTGAAACAATCCAGACTCAAGACTATCGTCAACCACACGTGAGACCAGGCTACTGAGGAGGACAGAAGACACACCCCTTGGCTTGCCAGCAGGGTAGCATAAGACATGCCTTGCTCGTATGCAGGAGTCCTGGTCGCCGTTCATTTGGTTGGAGGGAATGAAAGGAGACCACGTGCAGCACATGTGCCAGCAGCCTTGACTTGAGGGCCACCTGCCCACAGGGGCACAGCTTGCGGGGACCCCACGGGGAACTTGCTGCTTTTAGGAGCCACCACCCGAGGAAGCCCCAGCAAGGGCTCTGCACAGATCTTCAGTTTCCCGGGCCAGATGCAAGCTTCGCAGCCAGGGACTGACATTACCATAAGCAATGTTGCCTTGTAATATATTTGACATCCAAGTTTTATGAAGTTTCCAGAGGAATAGAACAAGATGGTGAACCAAAGGTCAAATTCTTTTTTAAAAAAATTTTTTTAATGTTTTTTTAAAAAATTTATTTATTTGTGAGAGAGAGAGAGTGTGTGAGTGGGGAGGGTCAGGGAGAGAGGGAGCCACAGAATCAGAAACAGGCTCCAGGCTCTCAGCTGTCATCACAGAGCCTGACGTGGGGCTCGAACCCATGAACCGTGAGATCATGACCTGAACTGAAGTCGAACGCTTAACCGACTGAACCACCCAGGTGCCCCCCAAAGGTCAAATTCTTAAGCAGGAGAGTAAAGTGTTTGTCAGCCCTTTGCTTGCACTTGCAGATGTGGAGGGTGATCGAGTCTATTCCTGTATCTTCTCATAAGAATCCAGGAAAACAATTTCAAAGACCTAAGAATTTATTTATTCAGTTTGTAAGCCTTCTACCTTACCTCTCTCAGCTGACATATTTTTGTATTTTGTTACATTTGATATTAGAGAGTTGTCCTAACAAAAAATTTCTAAATTCTGTTTTGAACAGATAACACACACAGCTTTCTGTATTGCATATATATGTTTGTAAATATTTATGTCAAGGATGAAGAAGAAACTAAGTTAATCATCTAACATTATGTTTGCTATTGACTGTCTACTGGAATTATGAGCTTTTTCCATGTGTTTCTAGAGCCGATGACAATGACAGCTTTGGGTTTATGGACTTGCAAAGATTGGTAATTGACTCATGATGCCAATATTCCCAGGGGGATCATGAAGCTGCAGTCCCAGGTGATAGAGGGTCTCCTGGATTGCCAGGGCCCCCGGGCAGAACAGGACCTAAGGGGAAACCAGGACTAGGATTTCCCGGCCCACCAGGAGAGAGGGGGCCACCAGGAGCTCCAGGCCGTCCCGGCGAGAGGGGCCTTGCAGGCTTGAAGGGTCAGAAAGGTAATTTTTTTTTTTAATGTTTGTTTTACTTTTGAGACAGAGAGAGACAGAGCTTGAGTGGGGGAGGGGCAGAGAGAGAGGGAGACACAGAATCTGAAGCAGGCTCCAGGCTCTGAGCTAGCTGTCAGCACAGAGCCCGATGCGAGGCTCGAACTCATGGACCGTGAGATCATGACCTGAGCCAAAGTCAGCCACCCAACCGACTGAGCCACCCAGGCGCCCCCAGAAAAGTAATTTTGAATGTTTTGTGTTACAGAATGTAACGGAGAATAGTGGAAACTAAAGCAGTCCCCTCACCTGGGGCCAAGCTACTATAGTTGTAGCAGAATTACTAAATAAAATTCCTTCAAGCTGCTGTTCAGACCTTGAATATTGCAAATAAAAACATTACAGCACAATCAATATTTAAAACAAATTCTTAAAATACTAAAATGTCTTTGTTGCATTATTTGTCTGCATACCGAAGTTGTCTTCATTCATCCCTCAATCCCAACTTCTGCAATCTGCATTACATTTACGTATGTTTTCAAAATACCTATTTGTTTATAGTCTTTTGAGAGGATGCAGTGTATCTTAATAAAAAACACTGGTATTTCATTTAAAACAGACATCATTGTTCTTGAAACCCCATTTGTAGGCATTCTATGAAGAAAATAAAAGGAAGGGATTTCAAATATATTTGACAGTTATTTGAATTTAAATAGCAAAGTGACTTGCAGCATTATAGCTGAAAACTTTTGAAAAGGCTGGAGAATTAAGATTTTTTCTTTTGTGGTATGTACGTATACCTTGGACTACATTATTAACTGTGAAGTTTTAGAATGAAATAATAACTTTGGTTCTTGCTTTGACAACATAGAAAAGCAATATTTTAGTCCTCAGTAAGGTTTAAGATTATCATTCTGGACCCATCAAAATCTAACAGTATTTGTATTCACTTGGTACATTTTTGATTTGAGAGCATATGAAGTAATACATTATAATTATTTCTATGAGAAAAGAGATGCCTTCTATTTTAAAGGGGAAGGGAACTGAAAGGCACAAGCTTTGGAGTCTTACTTTCTTCACCAGTGAAAATGAGGGATGACAGTGATCGTATTGCAGAATCGTTTAAAAAAGTCAAGAGGCAATACATTTGAAGTTGTTGACCCATGGCAGCCCCTCCCTGAAGGGCAGCTGGTATTAATATCTCACCCAGCCCCACATCTACACACTAAATTGGGAGTCAGATCTTCTGCACTCAGTGCCAGATGTTGCGGCTATTTCCTGCTTTACCAAATCTTCTGATTCCATTGTATTGGAGATCATTGAGCCTATAAATACATTATTTTCTTCTAGCCTCTTAAAACTGATACTTCTTGATAATTTTTCCTATCCCCCTTATAAACATAACATGGCTGTCTGACCGTTGACGTTCAGATTTCAGAACCGAGCTTCTAGAAATTCAGAATAAACGTAGTTCAAATGATCTAACGGTACTTGGGCTCTTCTTTTCCCTTGAATTCCACATATGCTACATGAAAACAATACCTTGATTGAGTTGTCTTTGAGATTCATGTTACATTGGGTTACCAGTTGTGTGAATGCCATTTTTTTTTTTTCATTCCAGGAGAAACAATTTCTTGTAACATAACCTACCCTGGGAGACCAGGGCCTCCAGGTTTTGATGGACGTCCAGGTATGATCAATGAGAAGTCACTGTTTTGCACGTCCCCCAGAGTAACAGCACAAGACAGATAACCAATAGTTCATCATCAGGCAACTAATGAGGATATTTCTAAAACTCTTACCAGGTTTTGAGGGACTATGGGAAAACAGTATTTGTGGTAATTCCCATTGGGGCTCAAGTCTACTGGTTTGGGCACACTCTAGGTGGGTTTTTAAGTTTCTTTTAGATCTCTGTGCAACAAAATTTACCTTGATTTGATCATATATCAGTAAAACGTCTGCTCTTTGAGAAGTTTAAAACTGGACCTTATTTCTTTTCCTATGCCCCAAGAGTGAAAAATTATAATTTTCTTACTGATTATGTTTTACTGTCTTCTTTCCAAATCTCAAGGGACACGAACACTCAGACTTGAAGTTGGCAGATGTACCTCCTTTAAAGTTATTTTAGCTGAGATAATTTACAGTAGGAAATCTCAGAATGGTTTTTTCTTTATTATTTTTTTTAAATCTCAATTCCTTTTATAGGCGGTTTGCCTATACTTCATTTGAGAGAAATTTCAGTAAAATGCAGGGAAATAGATTTTGGCCTTTACCCAGCGGGCCACATCTCTTTCCTCCTACAAGGAGGGGCTATGCTCGAGTATTTTGTGTTGAGACGGAGCAGGGGGACCAGAAGATTCATCTGAGTGCTTTGTGTGTGTCTCAAAGGCTTTCAGGAAGAATCCTTTATGTATGGTTTAAAGTACATTAACAAGGGGCACCTGTGCGGCTCAGTCAGTTAAACATCTGACTTCAGCTTAGGTCATGATCTTACGGTTTGTGGGTTCAACCCCCACATCGGGCTCTGTGCTGACAGCTCAGAGACTGGAGCCTGCTTCAGATTCCGTGTCTCCCTCTCTCTCTGCCCCTCCCTTACTCATGCTCTGTCTCTCTTTCTCTCTCAAAAATAAATAAACGTTAACTTCTTTTTAAAAAAATAAGGTACATTAACAGAAGTATTCTTTGAAACACTTATTTGGGCACATGATTCATAAAATTATTATGTAAATCAGGCAAGGTAATATCTTTACTTCCATAAAGTAGAAACCCTTTGAAAAAGATGTATAGAGGTTTTTGTTTTTTTTTTTTAATCACCTTATTTTGTTCTCATTCAATTTGTGTTTTATTGAGTCTGGGTTTGGTTGTTGTTATTTAGGACCAAAGGGACTTCCGGGCCCTCGGGGAGCCCCAGGGTTGAGGTGTTTGGATGGGCCAAAGGGTCAGCGTGGCAAACCAGGAATATCAGAAATACCTGGTCCACCTGGTAAGTAATTAGTTTCCAGTTAAGAATGTGTAGGGGCACCTGGGTGGCTCAGTCAGTTAAGCATCTGTCTTCGGCTCAAGTCATGATCACATGGTTCATGGGTTCGAGCCCCGTATCGGGCTCTGTGCTGACAGCTAGCTCAGAGCCTGGAGTCTGCTTCGCATTCTGTGTCTCCCTCTCTCTCTGCCCCTCCCCTACTCATGCTCTGTCTCTCTCTCAGAAATAAACATTTAAGGAAAAAAAAACATTTTAGACCTCTAAAACTGACCTTAGTAAGCAAATGTCCCACAGACCCCTAGATCACGGGGCAATGTTTTTTTTTTTTAAACATTAAGGTCTTAGCTATGTTTTGATAACTTTTAGGTTCTGATAATTTTGTAAGTCCTCAAGGCTTCTTCCACCTGAAGCATGAGTTATAGATGATTATTGGCCGGTTATTTAGTAGAAACTGCTCAGTACAGACAGACTGCCAGTGGATGAAAGCAATTAGGGAAACCTCCTTGGCTTCTGGAAAAAACAAACTCACAATGTATTTTTCTATGAAAGGTGGCAAAGCAACAACATTGCCTATTAAGTCACTCTTAATTTTCGTTACGTACCCCTGTGGGTTTTTTTAAGTGTGTTTTTATCAAAGTATGGGTCTTCCATTTGCATTGGTTCTGAATTTGTACATTTAACAATTTCAACATTTTTCACCAGGTTTCCGTGGTGACGTGGGAGATCCAGGTTTTGGAGGTGAAGCGGGGTCCTCCCTTCCCGGGCCCCCAGGCGCTCCCGGTTCTCGCGGAGCAAATGGTCAGAAAGGACTCATGGGAGACACTGCCTATGGCCCCCCAGGCCCCTCGGGAGACAGAGGTTTTTCAGGGGTGCCGGGCTCAAAAGGACACAGAGGTGACCCAGGACACCCAGGCTTTGCAGGTATGGGGGCTGTGCTGTCCCTGTGGTCCATAAGCTGGCTCTGGTCTGCAACGGGCCCCTGAAGGCTGTTGAGACTATCTAGCCTTGGAAGTCTAGAATACAAGATTCTGCCCCCCAGGCATCTTCCCTCTAAATGAGCACTGGTCACATTTCAAGTAACCTACAAACCTGCGTCCTTAGTGTTGCCTTTGCATTTTTCTGGTTCCTTTCAAACCCAGGGCAGCTCACTGTGCGTTCAGTTTGATTCAGCAGCTACGGGCCCGTCTGCCTGCTTCGGACTCAGGACAGTATGTTAGGTCTGTAATCGCCCAGGGAGCAGGGCCTGGGGAGCCCGCCCACTGCCAAAGGCAGGTTGAAGGACGACCTGTAAGAGGAAGGGCAGCTCAGGGAGGCAGACAGGGTGAGATGGCATTCGGGGAAACACCATGGAAGAGCTGGGTGTGGGCTGGGCCCTGGCACACAAGCTGCCTTTTCTGGACAGGTGACAGTGTGCAAGGACTTTTGTCGTAGCAGGGGCAGTAGGCGGGAGAGGTGGGAAGATGGCCCGGGCACTGATTCACATCCATTTCCAAATTCACCAAGGATTCTTCAGGATCAGCAGAAGTCTTCAGATTTCATGTACTTAAAAATAACCCTTGGGCAGGGTCATTAAAATCATCCTCTTCTGGGCTCTGGTCTCAGGAATTTTGATTCATCATATCCGAATTGCATGAGGGCCAGCAGTCCAGTCTGAACTTACTTAGGCTTTTGGATGATGGTGACCAAGAGTGGACCCCAGACTAGAGTTTTACGAACACTATTCTGGTTCTTTTCTGACAGTGGATGGGCCAACATTTATTAGGTATCCACTATAGCATCATAATACAATGTGAATGGAGGACAAGGGACTAAGCCACATTCTGGGTCACCAGGGAGCTTACGTATTCTGTAGTTTGTAAGTCAAAATATTCATAAACAAAACCCCAGTTAGTTGGAAAGTAACAAGATAATATATTATCCGCGTCAATAAAAATAATTTTGACTTAGTAATTCACAATCTCACTTGTGAAAATGTATCTGAGAGATGTGTGTGGCAGAAGATGAAGATTAATGTGAAAATACTCTTGGGGGCGACTGGGTGGCTGAGTTGGCTGAACGTCTGACTCTTGATTTTGGCTCCAGTCATGATCTCATGGCTCGTGGGCCTTGAGTCAGGATGCACTGATGGTGCGGAGCCTGCTTGGGATTCTCTCTCTCCCCTCTCTCTGCCCCTTCCTAACTCATGCATGTGCTCTCTCTCTCTCTCTCAAAATAAATACAGAGCATTTAAAAAATACTCTTATATCATTCACATTAGAGGAACAAATGGGAATAGAGTTAAGTCATACATACATGTACACACACGCACACACTTTCTCTCTCAAAGAAATACTATTCAGCTATTAGCAATTAAAATTATATTTGTAAGGATTACAACAAAATTGAAAACATTTGCAGATTAATATGCAGTGTGAAATAATCCAACAGTTGAGTGTGTGCTGTGATTACTACTTGAAAAATGTAAACATATGAACAAAAGTATAATGAAAACTCGGAAAAATAAAATAGATTTAGGTTAGGGCTTGGAATGATGGGGGATTTTTTTCCCCTGAAAATTATGACACTGCTTTTCCAATCAATAGAAATTTAAGAGTTCCAGTGATGAAATATCTTACAAAAAGCACATCCATACAGTGTAAGCTGAGTGTATCAGCATGGAGATTTGGTGTAAAGCCCACCACAATATTGGAAGTTAATTAAAATCAAGAACTGCACAGTTTTTAGATTAGTATAAGCAACTTCTTTGTCATCTACATAACCTTATCAAGAAACTCTCTTGGTAATGCATGGTTTTCCCATTCGTGTGGAGCTCACCACCATCTATGATAAGAAAATCCTTTGAGAGACTTAACTCCTGTGAGCGCTGAGCCAGGATCAAAACATTCCCTTCTGGGATTGATATACATGAGTCTTTTGTCGCAGGCTGACTCTGTAGAGTTTCATGTCCTCAGTGTCATGAGTGTCTTGTATCATTTCAGGGCCAGCTGGCTTGCCCGGGTTCCCAGGATTCAAAGGGCCCAGAGGCAGAGAGGGAAGCGCTGGGTTCCCCGGGATCCCAGGCCCACCTGGCCAGTCCTGTGAGAGAGGCGCCCCAGGGACACCAGGGCAGCCGGGACTCCCTGGGGCTCCGGGCAGTCCAGGTAAGTGTCAGCACATGTCAAGACCTCTGAATGGTCTGCCCCTTGCCCCTGCTCACCACAGAATAAGATCACCTGCTGCTCTTTTATGGATGGACGGAACCAAGCCTCTTGGGGGCAGAGACAAAGACTATACTATTCACAGAACGGCACGTAGCATGAGCTTCCTGGTGGCTCGTGTCATTTCCCCTCGTCCCCCTAGCGATATGGGGGCAGCAGAAGTGGGGTTAGATGAGTGTTACACGTGTAGTCGGGTGCAGCATCTGAGAGGAGCGCTGTGGCTGGGGAACTGGTGCTTTAGAGCCACCTGTAGGGCAGCCCAGCCTTGAGAAGTCGCCCAGGTCAAGAGTGGCCAGGACATTGTATTCTTGGCACACCCAGCAGCACATGTAGGGGTCGGAGAGACCCAGGAAGAGGTATGTCTCAACACAAGGTGCTAGAGGGCTACTTCCAGTGCGAGCTCCATTTCACCATGAGGTTCATGTGGTTTGTCACCTGTTATTCAAATCCTATTGCATTCATCTACATGCAGGAATCCGCCCTCTCCGTGCATCAGAGCCAGACTGGGGTCATCCCTGCCATGACGGGGCCTTCTTTCTAGCTCCCATGACACTAGATGAACGTTGCTGTGATTTCTACAATCCTTTCTGGTGAACACCCTGAGTAAGGTTCACTTGGCCATAGCTTCAGGAAACACCCGGAAAGTTTTCTTGTATTCGTTTCAAGAGTAGATGCAAATAAGAGTTCTGTTCTTCACCCTGATCCATTTTCCATTTTTTAAAATGCTCTTTGTAGCACTCATGTATTTCTATTGGGAAATCGGTATTCGCCTCACCCGCCTTTCTTTTTCTAGCAGCCAGAGAAATAGGTTCTTAGACTGACAGAGGCTTGCCACTGTGGTTCGAGCTGATAACCAGGCACAGAGACGCGATTCCAGCTATCACGATTTTTTTTTCTTTTCTGCTCTGTGTGCAAAGCCATTTTTCAGTCTTCATACGTGTTGTGGTTTGTCTCAGGTGCCCCAGGTTGGAAAGGACAGCGAGGGGATGTGGGGCCTCCTGGTCCAGCTGGAATGAAGGGCCTCCCTGGAGTCCCAGGACGGCCAGGGGTAGATGGAGCCCCAGGACCCCCAGGAATCCCAGGCCCCTTAGGTGATGACGGACTGCCTGGTCTTCCGGGCCCAAAGGGTGGGTAGTGCTTTTCCATTGTTTCCCCCTATTGTATAAACCTCAAGTCCACTGCCAGCTGAAGACTGTTACATATGATCATACTATTGAATTTACTGTTACATCAGCCTGATTTTGTCCTTCCCTTGGTGACAGCTCCCTTCTTCTTATCCTCTATATTGTTATTTCCAGCAGCAGAATGTTTCGGGGTAGGTAAATGGGAGAAGGTGGGTGCTGGTGTTAAGTCCACAGAACCCGTAAACACTTCTGCTCGACAGACTGGGTAGAGCTGATAAAGTACAGGGTCAGAGCTAATGTGCTTGTGTTTTGGATGAGCCCCCACCCTCCAGCCCTGCGTCCCTGGCTCCTGGTTCTCTTAAAGCATTATGGGATCAGGGCTCAGAAAGCATAAAGGCTTGCACTTCAGCTCTGTGGGGCAGAGAATTGAGTAGGAGCGCACAGCCCTCATATGCGGTGAGGCTGACCGTGGTTGTTCAGTACACGCTGAGATATGGGTGCGGGCACATCTCCACACTGACAGCAAGGAACACAGGTCTAAGAAGCAAAATAGCTCTTAAAATGGCTTTTCTAGGAGGAAGTTAACGGAGGACGAAGCAGGAGAAGAAGGAAAAAATAGTGGGGGAGAGGGAGGGAAGCAAACCATGAGAGACTCTTGAATGCCGAGAACAAACTGAAGGCTGATGGATTTGGGGGGGAGGGAAAGGGGGGTGATGGGCATGGAGGAGGGCACTTGTCGGGATGAGCACTGGGTGGTATATAAAAACCAACTTGACAACTATAAACTATAAAAAAATGGCTTTTCTAAAAATTCATCTTCTCATTTCATCAGGATCCCAGGGGCTGCCTGGCTTCCCAGGTTTTCCAGGGGAGAGAGGAAAGCCTGGCCTGGAGGGGGACCCCGGCACTAAGGGGGAACCAGGAGAGAGGGGTCGGCCTGGCTTGCTCGGAGACCGGGGCATGAAAGGCGTCAAAGGTAAATGCAGTTAACAGCACGATGATGCAACATGCCTTGTTTCTGGCGTGTGTTCAGAATGGATAAATATGGTCTTTGAGAAATAAATGGGACTTGGGATGCCTGGGTGGCTCAGTCAGTTAAGTGTCCAGCTCTTGATTTCAGTTCATGAGTTCAAGGCCCAAGTACAGCTCAATGCTAACAGCATGGAACCTGCTTGGGATTCTCTCTTTCCCTCTCTCTCTGCCCTTCTCCCTTCCCACGTGTGCACTCTTTCTCTCAAAGTAAATAAACAAATACTTAAAACAGTTTAAAAAAAGAAAAATAAATGGGACTGTCCTGAAGCTTGGATTCCTTTTCTTTTTAGATTGCTGTCGTTTGTTTTAGAATTTTAAACCACTGCATTTTCTTTACCTCTCAATCATGTTGCCTATAGCTGATAAATGAATTGCTCTATGAATAGGGGGAGGAAACCCAGAAGTGCTTTGATTTATAGCTATTGAGTTTGAGAGAATTTTCTCACCTACGGGAAGGGGGTGCAGGTAGGGCTCCTGGCCCCCAAACCCTATTTCAATTTTTTTCTTTCTTTTTTCTTTCTTCCTTCCCTTCCCTTCCTTCCTCCCTTCCTTCCTCCCTTCCTTCCTTCCTTTCTTTCTTTCTTTTTATTTCTTTTTCTTTCTTTCTTTTCTTTCTTTCTTTCTTTCTTTCTTTCTTTCTTTCTTTCTTTCTTTCTTTCTTCTTTCCTTCTTTCTTCCTTCCTTCCTTCCTTTCCTTCCTTCCTTCCTTCACTCTCTCTCTCTTTCTTCTTTTTACAAAAGAAAACTTAATTTTTTAAATAAAGAGCCAGATAGCAAATATTTTTTAGGCCTTGCAGGCTATAGTCTCTGATTAAACCACGCAGGTCAGCTTTGGTAGCATGAAAGCAGCCAGAGACAGTAGGGAAACACACTAACATAGCTGTATTCCAATCAGATTTTATTCATGGACACTGAATTTGAATTTCATTTAATTTTCACATGTCATAAAATATTATTCTCATCTTGAATTTCCCCCCTAACAGTTTAAAAGCATAAAAACCATTCATAGCTCATGGATTCTACATAAACAGGCCACAGGTGGGATTTGGCTCTCCAGTTTGCTGACTCAAAACTAGGAGAAGCCGTGCATTATGGCTCCCCTGAGCTTCATTTAAAGAAAGAGTTGTCATTGCTATTAAAAGCTAAAAGTTGCAAGACCACTGGTTTAAATGTTCCGTGCCTGTCCCTGATAAATATTTACTTTTACCGCTTAGCCATGCGGCTGCAGTGAGTGAAGGTAATATTCATTTCCAGGGCTGAGAATGAATGCTTGACAATTTTTAGAAAAAAGTTTTTTTGTCCTTAAAGCCTTCTGGGTAAATAGCCTCCTATAAAATTCAAATTACTTTTACTTCTTTTTTTTTTAGGTTTATTTATTTATTTTGAGAGAGAGACAGACAACAAGAGGGGAGGGGCAGAGTGAGAGAGAAAGAGGGAGAGAACATTTTGAGAAGTCTCTGCGCTATCAGTGCAGAGCCTGATGTGGGGCTGGATCTCACAAGCAGTGAGATCATGATCTGAACTGAAAGTTGAGAGTCAGATACTTAACTGACTGAACCACCCAGACACCCTATTCTAATTACTTTTACTTCCTAGTTGATTGATTCTACTATTATTTTTTTGTTTTACTAACCTGTACGTTTATTACGTAGAATCAAGGAATCACACACTCTTTGCTAGCTTAGACTGAGTGATGTTTGCTATGCTATTACGGTCTTTGAGATTAAAAAAAAAATAAGAAAGAATATTACACTGTGTTTTAACTAACTGGAATTGAAATAAATAAAAACTTTTTTAAAAATGCCCTGATTTTTGTTTGCTCTCATGGTGTAGATATTCCCACCATGGCTGTTTTTTTGTTTGTTTGTTTGTTTTTGTTTTTGTTTTAAAGCTGCCAATAGCTTAACAGCTGGCTTACAATATTCTTGGATCGTTAATAACCGGCTCTCACACTGCTGGTATGAGCCCACTTGAACACATTCCCCCAACAGGACAGTGTTTACAAAATCAAATAGAAACATCATATATTTTTCCTACCTTTCAGAATTCTCTATGTGGAGAAGCAAGTCCAAATAAGTGTTCTTTTAATGTAAGGAAAATAACAGAGTGTGGCCAGGAAGGGAGGGGAGGACAGGCAACTGAAAAATACAAGATGGGCAATTCACATTAAACAGGATATTTAAATGTGACATATATTCGATCTGGGACTTTTCAAGCCTGTCTTTTTAAACTTCAACCTCCGAGACCCATTTGGTTGTATTAACACACACTCACTGGTCACTCCCTGTACACCAGACCCTGTTGCCGGAGAAGTTGAGAGAGGAATATAAAAGGCACGGTCCTTCCTTTAGGCAAATCAGTTGACAGTATTGACACCGTGCAAGCTATGAACATAGGTAGGGTTTAGTTGAGATGTGGATCCCCAAACTGGGCGTGAAGTGCTATAGCTAAAGAACCACATGTGTAGGGCTTCTGGTTTCCTTCACTTGCATCATTAATATCTCCAGGAGCACGGGGACCCCCAGGAGATGAAGGAGAGATGGCCGTAATTTCCCTAAAGGGGAAAACTGGAGAACCTGGACCTCCTGGAGATAGTGGATTCCCAGGAGAAGAAGGTAAGCACTTATTTTTTTTTTAACTGTATCAAATAAGTAGACTTCTTTTTGGGTCGTTCAAACAAGCAAGCGTACAGACAGCTTTCCTAATGATGCTGAGATTAGGAAAGGTCACATTTCTAAGATCTATAACTGGGTATATAAGTACACCCAGATTAATCTCACGCTGCATTTTTCTTTTGCTTTTCTGGGCCAGAACATCAAATTCATAGGTATGTATAGGTTTGGACAATTCAAACTAAGATCAACCCTAAGATTATATATACGATGCCAGTTCCAGGTTTAAAGTACCCTTGTTTTTGGTGACTGCTATAAAAATGAACAATTTTATTTTTTTAAGTTTATTTATTTATTTTGAGAGAGAGAGCACAAGCAGGGGAGGGGCAGAGAGGGAGAGAGCGAATCCCAAGCAGGCTCTGTGCTGTCAGCGCAGAGCCTGATGAGGGGCTCAAACTCACCAACCGTGAGATCATGACCTGAGTGGAATTCAAGTGTCAGATGCCTGACCACCTGAGCCACCGGGTGCCCCAAATAATTTTAATGATTGAAATTGATTGTCTAGGTCATTTTGACCAGGACTTCTCAGTCTTCAATGTGCATATGAACCCCTTCGGCTCTTGTGGAAACGCAGATCCTCAATCAGCAGATCGGGGGGGTGGGGGGGCCGGCCCAACTCTGCCTTTCTCACCATCACCCTGATGCCTGTGCTCCTGCTCCTCAGAAACACAGTGTGGCCAGGATTTTGACCGCCACATGTGTATTATCTTTCCCAAGTTCACAGTTAGTCTGCATGAAGCCCGCCTCTTGTCTTGGCTGTCTCCTGAACTGGCTGTCAGGGCGCGAATGTCTTTTAACTGCTCTGAGGTTCTTCGTCCTTCGTAAAATGGGGGCGTGAAAGCGAATGACCCCGCATGCCCGTTCCTCTCTTGGGTTCCCCAGGTCACTTCGCGGGTGCTTCTTTCACTGAAGCCAAAAACCATCACCATGCGGCTTAGGGCAGGAATTCGGATTCCCAAAACCTTTGGCTTCATCTCCTAAATGTAGGACCCAAACCCTCAGCCTCCCTATTGCCCGGCCCAGGACATCCTCAAAGAGGTTTGTTAACACTTCCAACCCCATCAGGTGATAAAGGCCATCCCGGGATGCAGGGGAGGAGAGGAGAGCCGGGAAGATACGGACCACCTGGATTTCACAGAGGGGAGCCTGGTAGAACCGGGCAGCCGGGGCTCCCTGGAGCCCCAGGCCCTCCAGGCTCACCCGGGCTCAGAGGGATTATTGGTTTTCCGGGCTTCCCAGGTGACCAGGTAAGTGGCTGCTGTTGGGGAGGAAAGAAATAATAAAATCCTTTGGCGCTCGGGATGCTGACAAGGAGTCACAATTTCCAGTATACATCATTGCCCTTTAACCAGCTTTTAGAGTATAATGGATATGCCAAAGGAAGGATGGAGCCTTCGGAAGGCCATGATGTAACTATAGGTTTTGGGCAGTGTTCATTACTATTTCTCCTAACAGATGACCCAGCCACTTACTTTATGTGCTGCACCCCCAGCCTAGTTTAAACAGCTCCACAGAAATTTCTCTCATGACTAATGGTTTATCAGAGTAAAGAATCATCTGAAATATAACCCAAATTCTGGTTACTAAGCCTTCCTATCGAATTGCAGATATGATAGATTTTGCTGTAAATACATTTGGTCTTGAGAACCATGAGTAAAATACCCCCTTGGAAACCAACAGGTCCAATGCATGTAGGAGCCTACATCATAACTTCTAGAAGATGTATGTAATTTGCTACCCATCTTTTGGAATCAAATAGATTTTTTAAAGTGTTTGGTAAAAAAAAAATGTCTTCTAACAATATTTTATTGGTCTCAGTATGCTCATTTGAAACTTAAAATTCAAGTCACGTGATGCAATTACTGTTTTGCAATCAAGGATAGAGAATTGGACGCCACCCGTTGGTACCTGTAATTCTGGGCTTTTAGCAACTTTTAAAAGCTAGGAGCATGAAGCAGTATCGCCTGTAATGCATTTCCAATTTTCTTTACCACTGAAAATATATGGACATTGGTCATGGAAGATTATAACTGGATCATGTTATGAATGTGCTATTTGTATATGAAACCAAACAAGGTCTTTTGTTTTAAACTCTCAGGGTGAGCCAGGTTCTCCAGGGTCCCCTGGACTTTCAGGAATCGATGGAAAGAAAGGCCCTAAAGGTATGCTTTGGAAATACAGCAGCCGTCCACCAGCCTTCGAGTCCTGGGTGTTCATAACACCAGGAACACGCACATTTGGCACAAATGAAAAGTTAAATCCATCAAACAAACAGCAACATCCAAGGGCTTCTTTTTATCATCTTTTAAGTTTTTGTTTACATTCCAGTTAGTTAACATACAGTGTAATATTAGTTCAGGTGTACAATATGGTGATTCCACACGTCCATACATACGCAGTGATTATCATGACAAGTGCACTTCGTAATCCCCGTCACCTATTTCCCCCAACCCTGCTCCCCTTTCTAGTAACCATCAGTTTGTTCTCTATAGTTAAAGGTTGCCTCTCTCTTTTTTTCCCTTTTGCTCATTTGTTTTGTTTCTTAAATTCCACATATGAGTGAAATCATATGGTATTTATCTTTCTCTATTTTGCTTAGCATAATATTCTCTAGCTCCATCCATGTTGTTGTAGATGCTGAGATTTCATTCATTTTGGTGGCTGAGTAATATAATATTCCGTTCCATAAATATGAATATATGTATATTTATATGTATGTACACCACACACACACACACATCTTCTTTTTTAAAGTTTTTAATTTTTTTATTTTTTTATTAGTTTATTGTCAATTTGGTTTCCATATAACACCCAGTGCTCATCCCCAATAGTGCCCTCCTCCATGCCCATCACCCCCCTTCCCCTTCCCACCATACCAATCAGTCCTCAGTTTTTTTCTCAGCATTCAAGAGTCTCTCATGGTTTGTCTCCCCACCTCTCTCTCCCATTTCCCCCCTTCTCCCCCACAGTCCTCCGTTAAGTTCCTCCTAATCCTCCTATACATGCAAACATACGGTAGCTGTCCTTCTCTGCCTGACTTATTTCACTCAGCATAACACCCTCAAGTTCCATCCACGTTGCTACACATGGCCAGATTTCATTGTTTCTCATTGCCATGTAGCATTCCATCATATAGATAAACCACCTCTTCTGGATCCATTCGTCCGTTGATGGACACTTAGGCTCTTTCCATGTTTTGTCTATTATTGAGGGTGCTGCTATGAACATTGGGGTACATGTGCCCCTATGCATCAGCACTCCTGTATCCCTTGGATAAATTTCTAGCAATGCTATTGCTGGGTCATAGGGGAGTTCTGTTGTTAATTTTTTGAGGAACAGTGAACCTCCACACTGTTTTCCAGAGGGGCTGCACCAGTTTACATTCCCGCCAACAGTGTAGGAGGGTGCCCATTTCTCCACATCCTCGCCAGCATCTAGAGTCCTCTGATTTGCCCATTTTAGCCACTCTGACTGGCGTGAGGTGGTATCTGAGTGTGGTTTTGATTTGTATTTCCCTGATGAGGAGGGATGCTGAGCATCATTTCATGTGTCTGTTGGCCATGTCTGGATGTCCTGTTTGGAGAAGTGTCTGTTCATATCTTCTGCTCATTTCTTCACTGGATTGTTTGTTTTTTGGGTGTGGAGTTTGGTGAGTTCCTTATAGATTTTGGATACTAACCCTTTATCTGATATGTCATTTGTAACTATCTTTTCCCATTCCGTCGGCTGCCTATTAGTTTTATGGATTGTTTCCTTTGCCATGCAGAAGCTTTTAATCTTGATGAGGTCCCTGGAGTTCATTTTTGCTTTTGATTTCCTTGCCTTTGGGGATGTGTCAAGTAAGAAATTGCTGCGGTTGAGCTCAAGGAGGTTGTTTCCTGCTTTCTCCTCTAGGGTTTTGATGGTTTCCTGTCTCACGTTCAGATCCTTTATCCATTTTGAGTTTATTTTTGTGCATGGTGTGAGAAAATGATCTAGTTTCATTCTTCTGCATGTTGTTGTTCAGTTCTCCCAGCGCCATCTGTTAAAGAAGCTGTCTTTTTTCCATTGGATACTCTTTCCTGCTTTGTCAAAGATTAGTTGGCTGTATTTGGGTCGAATTCTGAGTTCTCAATAATATTCCATTGGTCTATGTGTCTATTTTTGTGCCAATACCATACCGTCTTGATGATTACAGCTGCAACATATGTTCTTTATCCACACATCAAATGATGGATGCTTGGACTCTTTCTATAATTTGGTTATTGTGGATAATGCTGCTATAAATATTGGAGAGCATGTATCCCTTTGAATGGTACTTTTGTATTCTTTGGATAAATACCTAGTAGTACGATTACTAGGTCATAAGGTACTTCTATTTTTATCTTTTTGAGGAACCTCCATACTGTTTTCCACAGTGGCTACCCCAGTTTGCATTCCCACCAACAGTGCAAGAGACTTCCCCTTTCTCTTTAGCCTCCCCAACACCTGTCATTTCTTGTGTTGTTAATTTTAGCCATTCTGACAGGTGTGAGGTGATATCTCATTGAAGTTTTGAATTTGAATTCCCTGGTGATAAGTGATGTTGAGCATCTTCTCATGTATCTGTTGGCCATCTAGATGTCTTCTTTGGAGCAATGTCTATTCATGCCTTCTGCCCAGTTTTAATCAGATTATTCATTTTGGGGAGTATTGGGTTATGTAAGTTCTTTATACATTTTAGACACTAACCCAGCGGTTCTTTTTAGACTCTGAAAGATGGTCAAGCCCTCGAGATACAAATCATCCACATTTGTCATTCGGCTCCAAGGGTACCAGAGAGAGAACAGTGTGCCTGTAGAGCACACAGGTCACAGGTCTTTCTCCTCGGTGGGGGCCCTTCAACCACCTTTGTAGTGATTGCAGCTCCATAAGTGACAGCTCAGGTGCATGAAGACCAGACCCACATCGATGGGCAGTGTCCACCTTGGCTTAGAAGCCTTCTGCACCATAGGACCCAATATCTCTTCTAAGGACTCCATCGATATGGCTTTCAGGGTCCCAGAGTCGCATCACAGTGCACCGAGAAGGCCAAGACCGTGACTTCCTACCAGGTGTTAATATTTCGCCTAAGAATTTCTGGGCCACATGTAATTTACAATTGGGTCATGTTTACCATAAGCCAAGGGTCAGCAAGTACATTTTCTCAAGGGGTCAGACCACGGATGTTTTCAGCTATGTGGTCTCTGTTACAACTACTCAGCTGTGCATGAGAGCCTCCATAGCATGGAAGCAGCCACACAATATGCAAATAAGGGGTGTGGCTGTGTTCCAATAAGAATGTGCTTACCACAAGCTGCAGGTTAGATCTGGCCCCTAGGCCTTGGTTTACCTTGTGTCGGAACAATGTTGCCTCATAACACAACTGACATCCTACCTCAATCAGATCTCCAGTAACACAAAGTTACCTGTGGTTAAAAATGTTCTTAGAGAGGGGAGTCTGGGTGGCTCAATTGGTTAAGCATCCAGCTTTGGCTCAGGTCATGATCTCACAGCTCTTGAGTTCAAGCCCTGCATCGGGCTCTGTGCTGACAGCTAGGAGCCTGGAGCCTGCTTTGGATTCTGTGTCTCCCTCTCTCTCTCTGCCCCTCCCCTGCTTGCACTAACTCTCTCTCTCCAAAATAAGTATACATTAAATTTTTTTTTAAATGTTCTTAGAGAAAGGAGGTTTCGTTAACCCTTTATTCAGACACACAAACAAAAATCAGGATATCTTAAATTCCAATGTTTGCATAAAACCTCTAACATTGTTACTGTCCTTGTATACCATCGGGTTAATATTTTTCTTTGAATCTTAAATATGATTCACCTTTCTAACCTTAGCTTTAACTTCACTATCAGTGAGTTCACAAGTTTGATAAGCAGTTATATTTTACTTTATCACAGATTAAAATGAATAGCTTTAAAATATAAAAGAGCAGGGGCACCTGGCTGGCTCAGACAGAAGAGCATGCGACTTGATGTCGGGGTTGTGAGTTCAAGCCCCATGTTGGGTGTAGAGATTACTGAAAAATATAACCTTAGAAAAAGTAAAATAAAATATAAGAGAGTACTTAATGAGCCACTGAAATATCTCCCTTACCACTCATGAAACATGCTGTCCATGTTTATTGTCCATAAATAATATGACAATTGCTATAGGAGACAAAGGAGTGTGCACACTTATTTATTCAGGAAGAATAACCTAGATATCTTCTTCAGAAATAGTTACAAATAGAGAAGTTTTCCTATTTGAGTTGACACTTTATAGCTTCATGGTTTAAAAGTCACTCATCTTCTGCTTACTTATGCATTTATTATAGTCCCTTCACCTCTCTCAGACTACAAACCTACTTCTTATTCTCTTCACACTTGTTTTTGGCCATGTTTGCAGGGAATTAAAATGCACTCATGGTATCTGGAGTCAGAGCTCTCTCATGAAGCCCACATAAGGCTAAGGAAACCCAGCCTTTAGACAGCCCTTGGTTTCTCTTTTGAGACTTTTCTGCTTTTCTTTATGGGCTGTTTTCTTCCTTCCTTCCTTCTTTCCTTCCTTCCTTCCTTCCTTCCTTCCTTCCTTCCTTCCTTCCTTCCCATAAATGTTTATGTTTGAGACAGAGAGTGCAAGTAGAGGAGAAACAGAGAGAAAGAGAAAGAATCTCAAGCAGGTTCTGTACTGTCAGCACAAAGCCTAATGAGGGGCTCAGTCTCATGAACCATGAGATCATGACCTGAGCTGAAATCAAGAGTTGGACGTTTAACTGCCTGAGCCACCCAGGCGCCCCGGGGCTGGTTCTTACTTATCTGCTGGCTGGCTTCATTATTCTCTATTCAGTATACTTTCTGGACCTTTCTGGATTTGTATGGATTGCAAACACTCACTCTCTACATCAAAGCATCATGATAACTATATCATGACAATCCTTTGGTCGCTGCCTCAGTGACCAAGGGCCTCAAATTCTCACTTTGTATTCCGGCTTCTCAAGAAAAGACTGACTGACCCGAGATAGACCAGATTCCTATCCCTCCAGCAATTAGCCACAAGAGAAACTTCCACCATATGTGGTTGGGACCCCTTAGAATGGGGTGTGGGTGAGACGTATACATCATGCCTAATTAACTCTCTTATTTTCTCTTATAACTGCATCCATTGTCTTCCCCTCCCTATTCCAACCATTTTTAGTCCCCATTTTGAGGCTCCCAAGTGTAAGTCCTGCGTTGGGAAGAATGCAGCAGTGGTGTGGGAAAGCTCTGTGGTTCGGTTTTAAAGTTTATTTTGAGAGAGAGACAGAGAAAGGTAGAGAGAGAACATGAGTGGGGGAGGGGCAAGGGGAGAGGAAGAGAGAGAATCCCAAGCAGGTTCCACAGTCAGCACAGAGTCTGATACAGGGCTCGAACCCACGAACCGTGAGATCATGACCTGAGCCACAACCAAGAGTCAGATGCTTATCCAACTGAGCCACCCAGGCACCCCTGTAATTTTGATTTTACAAGGACATTGAGGTGAGCATCCTTGTGAGTTTGACATGTGATTGCAACAGTAAAACCAAGGGCAATTTCTGTTTTTTGTTTCTAAAACACAGTATAAAAATATAGTCACTCAATGCCAAGTAATTTCTTAGATACCTAAATTAGAAATTACTTTTGGGAATTTAAAAATCCAAACTTATTGATATCTATAGTTTCTTATGATTTTTATGTACTATAAAATCGATGTGTGTGTGTGTATGTGTGTGCACACACGTGTGTGCATGTGCTTAAATCACATCTTGGAACAATGGTTCCAATTGTTCTTATATAGGAAAAAAACCCTGTTTTTCCAAAAGTGCCTCTAGAACATTTGAAGATAAGCTCTAAAGACAAATATGACAGTTATTAAGTCACTTGTATGAAAAAACTTAAATTCTCTTAAATAATATTATGTGCATTTTATCACTTACAGGAGAGCAAGGGGACCCTGCTAGTCAGTTCGGCCCACCTGGTCCAGAGGGAGAACCAGGCAGCCCTGGATGTCCAGGTATACCTACATATTTTTTCTTATTAAAACAAAAAAATAATAATAAATTTAGTTTGAAAAATAGAACAATTGCTTCATACTCCTATCTGGCAATGGTTATATCAGCATTTTCTTCCCCCTTTGCCCATTAAGATCCATCTCAGAAGGATTATGTATCAGCATGGCCACCATATCATTGGTTTAGAAGGACACCAGGATTAGACACCAGGGATTCTCACTTTTTTTCCACCATGGCCCCCATGACTGTGCTGTTGACATAACAGTCCACTCCCTCGGCATGCCCAGATTTTGACATCTTGGTCAAAAATGATGATTGCAAGCAATTAAAAGCCGGACCACTTCCCAGTCTCTAGAATTATAAATGCTACATTAGCAATAACCGTGCCCACTGACCACAGCTTCGAGTTGTCTTTCTAGCCCTTTCTTTCTTACTCAGAAAATCATATGTGAATGCCAGTGGGGAGTGCCATTGTTGAGATATCATGGAATCGCTCATTTACTAAATATGTCATTTACTAAAAACCAAACCCAAAACCAAAATTAAACTTCATCACGACAATGAATCTAAATTGTTCAAAACAGTATTTCGTTTATCAGCAACAATTGACATGTAATCAATCCCTCAGAATGGATTGGGACGTACCTGTGGGTTCCTGCCCTCCACTTGATGCTGAGGCTGAGGTTGGCTTCAGTACCTGACCCACCGTTGACAAAATATACATGTTTTTTTTTTTTTTTTTAACTTAGTGGTTTGACTTGTAGGAATTTATCTGAAGTCGATTATCAGACAGGCTTGCAAAGATGCATGCACAGGAATATGCATTGCATAGAAAAAGCAAATGTCATCCACAAATGATTGATTAAAGAACTATGCATAATCCCATTCAGCCAGGTTAGACGGGTTAGAAAGAGGTTTGTCTTTAGGTGGATCCCTTGTAAATTAAAATATCTCATATTACTAGTTTTGTGTATCATCTTAAAATTCTCTTGGACAATAGTCATGTGTCATTACGTACAAGAGAAGGAATATCTGAGCAGAAGCATTATCAGAAATTTTATTTTATTTTTTTTGTTTTTATACCACAAGATCGCTATAATGGATGTCTAACAGAAAAACAAACTATTATAATGGCAAGAACTTTCCCACTACCTTTCACATCCGTCTTTTACCTCCAACCTGGTCAAATAGATTTAGGTAACATAACGGTTTAACCGAAATGTGCAGCTTACATGTACATGTGGAGGGAAAATAGTTTTGAGCTTAACATTATGGAGGTTCCTAATAAATACTAGAGGGAGAAGCCTTAAGAAGGAAAGCCAGTGGTTCAAAGTCAGCCTTCATTATTACTTCATTATTACCCTGTGATCTTGGGTAAGTTGCTCATCATTTGTGAGCTCAGTTTCTTAATTATAAGACTAAGCATAATTATAGGATTAATAATTGCATAATTATAGGATTGTTTTGAGGATCAAATAAGATTCCTTGCAAACAGTTTGTAAACTGAAAATTCCATATTTACTGGTATTTTTATGTAAACCATTAAGATAGTAAGATTTTACAAACTGAAACTAGTCTCCAAATGGATACCTTTGATCCTACCTAATATTTTTGTTTTGTTTTGTTTTTTATTTCTAGGAGAGAGAGAGAGAGAGACAGCGTGATCAGGGGAGGGTCAGAGAGAGAGGGAGTCACAGACTGAAACAGGCTCCAGGCTCTGAGCTGGCAGTCAGCACAGAGCCAAAAGAGGGGCTCAAACCCACGAACCGCGAGATCATGACCTAAGCGAAGTCGGACGCTTAACCGACTAAGCCACCCAGGCGCCCCAGATCCTACCTAATATTTTAAGTTAAAAATGATTAACCTGAGTAATTTTACACTTAGGCTAACTTTTTTGTAAAAAAAATTTTAAGTTATATTTATTTATTTTGAGAGAGAGCGTGCAAGGGAGGTGCAGAGAGACGGAGAGAGAGAATCCCAAGCAGGCTCCATGCTGCCAGTGCAGAGCCAGATGTGGGGCTCAAACTCACAAACCATGAAGATCATAACCTGAGCCAAAATCAAGAGCCAGATACCTAACTGACTGCACCACCCAGGTGCCCCAGGCTAACTTTTTAAAGCAAAATTGCCTTAGTGTGATTTTCCTGGTGTTCTGTGGTTATCACCATGTACATTCTTCCCTTTCTCAAATACCATAGCTTTAACCTGAAATTTATTTTCTCTTTCTTTCTTTCTTTTTTTTTTTCTAGAGACAGAGCATGAGTGGGGGTAGAAGAGAGAGAGAGAGAGAAAGAGAGAATCTGAAGTAAGCTCTAGGCTTAGCTGTCAGCACAGAGCCTGACGCGGGGCTTGAACCCACAAACCGCAAGTTCATGACCTGAGCCGAAGTCGGACACTTAGCCGACTGAACCACCCAAGTGCCCCTAGCCTGAAATTTCTAAATTACATCATATGTTATTACTGGTACCAATAAATATTTTGGTATTTAGAGTTTACCTAAATACACAATTCCCATTGACAGAAAAAAGCTGCATGGATTGAACTTGAATGAGTTCAGCGAGAAGACACAGAGCTCACATCTATCTCAGGGAACTTTATATGCACGGACTGGGTTCGGCTGTACCTCCCCCATTCAGTTCAGAGAGAAATAACAGCATAGTGTTCTTTTATTTATGAACTCAGAAGTTCTGTTCTTAATACAGGTGTGACTGGGGCAGCAAGCCTTAAGTTTTTCAATTGGAGAGGAGAATAATGCTGCCCTACCTTTCCTGCAAGAATGTTTTCAGGATAAATGAAATAACACACGGTGAGGCTCATAGATCTTAAATTTGATCAGGGAACAGGTATAGATTAACACAGGCTTGTTTCATGTATGTTATAATAAATAATGACCATGCCCCACCACGAGTTTGTAAATACAGCGCTATCTACTTTGTTGGTTGATTCAACTAGCTAATTTCATCACACACTATTGGCTTATTCTAGAAGTCTGAATTGTATTAAAGTGATACATTATAAATAAACATATGCAGAGATAGTCGTCTTCTCTAGTAATCAAAGAAATTAATTAAAGTAAATCTGAAACATTATTTCCTTTGACCGAATTAGCAAGAAAAGAAGCCAACACTAACACGTCCTCAGCGAGCACGCGAGATCTCGGGGGCTACGGGTGGTGGTGTGAGATGGTGCCACGCTTAACTGTTAACTAAACCATTTAACAGCCTCCGTCGGGAGCAGAATGGTCTATTCTGAAAGACTAAAACGCAATTCAAATGTTCTCTTCAGCAAGTCTCTGTCCTGAGAAAGAGACTCTAGGAGAGTTTTTAACTTAAGGATATAGCCACCAGATGCTCTTGTGTGTTTCTGGAGTGAGGACAAACCAGCTGTAAAGCACATTAAGGGCACAATTGGCGCAATTCAAGTATGAAACAAGCACTAGCGGGTATTAACGTTGTTCTTAATTTTCTTGGCTGTGATGATGTTATTTTGGCTATGTAGGAAAATGGTTTTTTCAGGTATACCTCCTGAAGGATTTAGGGATGGGATTCCATGATGTCTGTCATTTACTTTGAAATACTTCAGTATTTTAGTGCATTTTGGAAAACCAAAAATATCATACAATATTACCTCACAAGTTTCTACTCCTAGATATTTTTCCTAAGGAAATAATTTGATGTGAGACAAATTGATTAAAAATGCATAAAGATCGTTATGCGTAACAGCAAAGAGAAATAACTCCAGTGGCCAATAGTAAGAGAAAATTAGATTAATTAAGATTCACTCAATAAGCTATCAGCTAGTCCTGTAAAAAGAGTAATTAGAAAAATAATGGCAAATTTGGAAAATTACTTATAATACAATGCTCATTTAAAAAATCAAAATATAAAGTTGTGGGTCTTATTTGCATATTGTTATACACATGACAAATTATATTCAGGTGGTAGGGTGAGAAGTGTTTCATTTTTATTTTTTCCTTAATGTTGTCTTTTCAACAGAGAAATTAGAAATGTCAACAAGTAATAATAGAAAAGAATGGTAGGGGCTGTAGTTGGAAGTAATTATAGATTCACCACCTCAAAGACCAATCTCCGATTATTCAGATGTTTGATCCTTCTTTCTTTAGGACATCTTGGGGCACCTGGAGAGCGGGGCTTGCCCGGTGTTCAAGGGCCCAGAGGACCACCTGGAAGGCCAGGACTTCCTGGCTCCTCTGGACCACCAGGCTGTCCAGGTATCTTTTTTTTTTTTTCCAAAAATTTTTAATGTTTATTTACTTATTTATTTATTTTTAAATGCTTATTTTTGAGAGAGACAGAGACAGAGAGTGAGCAGGGGAGGGACAGAGAGAGAGAGAGCGAGACACAGAATCCGAAGCAGGCTCCAGGCTCTGAGCTGTCAGCATAGAGCCTGACGCGGGGCTCGAACCCACAAACTGTGAGATCATGACCTGAGCTGAAATCAGATGTTTAACCGACTGAGCCACCCAGGCGCCCCAGTGTTTATTTATTTTTAAGAGAGAGAGACACAGAGCGCAAGTTGGGGAGGGGCAGAGAGAGAGACCCACACACAGAATACACTGGAGCCAGGCTCCAGGCTCTGAGCTGTCAGCACAGAGCCCAATGCAGGGCTCGAACCCACAAACTGGGAGATCATGACCTGAGCTGAAGTTGGACACTTAACCCACTGAGCCACCCAGGCACCCCGGTCCAGGTATCTTCAGAGACCCTGGAAACTTCCGGACTCTCATCTATCTTCCGGTGTAACAGAAAAGGCCAGCTTTCACTTAGACCTCGTTTCAGATGTGATTCTGCCATTTCCCGGACCTGGGACTTGGGACAAATCACTCAAACTTACCTCTTCCTCTCTTGTAAGTTGGAGCTAGTCCAGCCTCCTTGGGTTGGTCGGGGAGTAAACCAAGACGATGCCTGTTAACAGCCTAGCAAGGAGCCACGTACAAAGTGACGGGCTGACAGATACAAGTGTCTTCCCATCCTTCCTTAATCTACCTGCCACTCACATGCTGCCTTTCTTGTCTCCTTTCAACTTCAGGCAAATATCACACATACAACATGACATTAACGGCTCCTCCTCCTCCTGCCAATTCAGAATATAATGAAAGTTTAAAACTGCAGTTGGCAACTTTAATCACTCCGAAGTGTAGTTGCTCCATCTAAGGTTAAGTATATTGTTTCTCTCTAGGCCTAGTGTCAGGGGAGAGTCTAGTGGGGGAAAGAAAAGATAAGACAACGTTCCCAGTTACCCGTGTATTAGGAATACAGATGACCTTCCCCATTAAGGTGACTCAGATATCAACTGGGTGTCTTCAGAGCCTCCTTCTTGTCCTCAGGTGACCCAGGGGTGCCTGGGCTGAAGGGACATCCAGGAGAAATGGGGGCTCCTGGGCCAAGAGGCATGACGGGAGATCCGGGGGCACCAGGCCTTCCAGGAATAAAAGGTGAGTAAAAGGAAGCCCGACCCATGAGGGCAAAGTGATAGAGCTTTCTCTGCACTGAGTGACACTGATCTTGTCCTAGCTCTTTCCCCTTTCCCACAGATGCCCATTAGCACCTTCTTCTCCCTCACTCAGAGCTTCGGGCAACGCATCGAGTCTCCTGACCCGCCTTCTACCACAATGGTGGTGCTGCCATTTTTAAGGGCATTTCCCTGTTTTCTGCAGTGTTCAGGCCTCTTCATTTGTTCCTTCCTTAGATAGTTGAGCTCCTATTATGTTCTAGATTGTGCGTTAGATGCTAGGCATACAATTCTGAGGAAAATAGACATGGTTACTGACTTCATGGAGCTCACGGTGTATGTGGCAAGGGAGACATATTAAAAATATACATATAAATAAATGTATATTTACCAGTTGTGATAAGTGGAAGGAAAAGAATAAAATGCCATGGAGAATGAGTCACTAATATTCATTATCTTTGTTAGATAAAGAAACATTTTTTTTTCCTGGTTGAATTTTTGGTCTTTATGGGTAATAGTAAACTGATTATAAGTTTGGTTGCAGTAATATCATATATCATATCATCTGCCGTAATTTTTGGTTATTAATAAGTCTTCATGCCCCTCCATTCCTCCATGGTATTTATTCCTCTTCCATCCATTTCTTCCATTTAAAAAAAAAAAAGCTTTTCATGGGCACTTTGTATATACTTCTAGCATAGCACCTATACTGTATCACATTTGTATGTTGAGAAGTCTTTCTCACCAAGCAGAAGGTGACTTTGATATCCTTGGCATCCAGTAGATAGCCATTAAGTCTATTGGATGGTGATGGTAAGTATTTTTAAATTTGTGCATAAATTAGGAAACAGAGGCATGGCCAAATTGAGAAGGAACAACTGAGCTAGTAGCTATGGAGTCAAGGGCAAAAAAATCAGATGAAGGCTCACACCTCAGTTGGTAGATTTCTGTAATCAAGCTTCCCTACCCTTTCCTCTCACTTACCTTCTGCTAGGTGACGCATCCATGTACTAAATTTCGGTCCAAAGAAAATTACCTCCTCTCAGAATTGTTGGAACCTCTCCTTTGGGCTCTTAGTTGCTTTATTGTTTTGAAAATCCAAGTTAAAACTTCCCACACTTTCATCTCTTCCTTCATCCAATAGTTTTCAGATAATTCCTGTTTTCCAGCAAGCACTAGTGTGGTATGTATTACTGGGGACAACTCTGCAGAGAGGGAAGCCCTTTATATTGGCCAGTTGGCACACTTAGGTATTTCCATGTGGCCAAATATTATTTGGCTTCTACTTCTCATCGCTGAACAAGATGTCTTTATACTATTCATCTCTCTCTTCATTGGCATTTAATGTGAAGTGCAGTGACTTGTGATAAATTTACAACCTCACACAAAATGATCATTTTTTTAAAAGATTTTCTTTGGGGTGCCTGGGTGGCTCAGTCAGTTAAGCATCTGACTTCAGCTCAGGTCATGATCTCATGGTTCCCACGAACCCACGTCAGGCTCCATGCTGACAGCTCAGAGCCTGCTCCAGATTCAATGTCCCCCTCACTCTCTGCCCCTTCCCTGCTCATACTCTGTCTCTCAAAAATAAATAAACATTTAAAAGGTTTTCTTTATTTTGAGAGAGAGAGAGAGAGAGAGAGAGCATGCGTGGGAGGGACAGAGAGAGAAAGAAAGAGAGAATCCCAAGCACGCTCCACACTGTCAATACAGAGCCCAATGGAGAGCTCAAGCTCACAAACTGTGAGATCATGACCTGAGCCAAAATCAAAAGTTGGCTGCTTAACTGACTGACCCACCAGCAACCCCCACCCCCACCCCGCCAAGTGATCATTTTTTATGTTAAAAGTTTATCTAGTGATTGTGGCTATTTGCTGTCACTGGAAATCTCTGTTGCCCTGGTGTGGTGTTCTTGGATACTGTTTTGAGTGTCTGGAAGATGAAATTGGTTTAAAAAAAAAAAGAAGAGAAAATATTTCCATTATTAAGCACTCGTACTACATTTCCCTTTCTTATATGCCTCCTAGTTTAATAAAAATCACAAGGATTTTCAAACCTCTTGGTACCAAGACAATAATATACACTCAGTTTGACTGAAATGACTAGGCTCATATCACTGTTGTAGGTTTGTCTTTCCCTTGATTTAGTTTGCATTTATCACGTAATTTCACTGTGACATGTAATTAAAATGCCAATAGCTGATGACATTGACTGAGGAACGAATTACTCGAAAATTCAGGCTGCCATCACACCACAGTTCTGTGCTATGAAATAATGAGTTTGTTGGGAGAGGGTGAGGAAACGAACATGGCTGACCGAGCGTCCATCGGAACAACACAGACGGATGTTGCAGTGATGCCTCCTGACCATTCAGGGACACTGTTTCGCCGCAAACAGCCCAGCCAACGTCCGGGCTTTAAAACAACAACACAAAACCGTGCACTGCATTCCTAAAAATTAAAACGTCCACAGTATAAATCCATTGTTGCCGTTCATCCTGCTGATATAAAAATGAACCGCACTCCGGCAGAAACGCTTTGATCTGAGAAACTAAATATTTGAAGTATGTTCTAAATAAGTCAAGAGGACTGATTATCTTGTTTGAACAAACCAGCTGTTGAACTCCGAGTTGTTTGCCCTGGTGGAACAGGCCACATGGATTCCCAGTCCTGCTTGAGTTCAGTCGGATTTAAACTTGAACTTAAACATATGCTAAAAAGTGGCTTGATTTGTAGATTTCAGTTCTCAAGCACACATGCCCTCTTTTGAAAGGAAGACAGTCACTTCTTCCTCGTTGGGCATCCGAGATCGCTATAATGAAAACCTGAAGACAGCTCTTTGTACCGTGATAACTGTAAAGACGTACACTGGGTAATTTTGGCTGGTGGCAAGCATGCTGTCACATAAGAGAAAAGGCACCTCGGAATGTCTTATATCTGGAAGGAAATGCCATGCATCTTACAGCCGAGAAAATCATGGACATGCTCTCGCCACTTCTACATGGAGGGGAGCATCCCTTCGGGCCCTGCCCCCATGGCACTTATCACTCTCCACTTAACTGCCGATTTGTTCTGTCGGGTCAGGGATGGTTTCTCTCTCGCTCTCCATTGTCTTGACAGCAGCTGTCACTAAGTACATTTGGGGACCGAAGCTCCGGGGGTTAGGAGACCACGACTTTATACTCCTGCGCCTCTCTCCTTAGAAAGCATGCGTGTATTTCCTGAATTTAAAAAAAATTCAGAATCTGTTTTGATAAGTTTTCAACTCTGTTCAGCCATCAACCTGCATTTACGTAGGTCTCTTTCCCATCATCTTTCACATTTGGGTGACCAGCTGTCCCAGTTTGCCTCGCACTGAGGGGTGCCTCTGGATGCAAGAAGTAAGAAAATCCCCCACAAACAGGAACGAGGCAGTCACCCCATTAAAAATATAAACCTGTATAAAGGCCACCAGGGATAGAGTAGCATTTTCAGGCTTTAGAACAAAAGAAAACCTCACGGGGAAACCAGTCTGAGAGTGGGCTGGGTAACCCGGAGGGTGCCTGTGATTCCCATTAGCGCTGAAGAAGAAGGTTCGATTCTCTGAGTGGGGGGAGAGCGCCCCACCCCGGGAGTGCAGCAAGATGCAGCCTTAAACGACGCCTGGTAGGAGGATGGCCAGAGAGGTGAATAAAAAAATCCTCATTACCACGGAATGTGCTTTGTTAGCCTAATTGCCTCTCATCTGCGCTGTATATATTTTATGCATGAACGACTTTCTGATTTAGAGATGGGATTGATAAAAAGCTTTCAGTAAAAAGGAAAAATTGCCCTTAAAATCCTACCCAGATGTAGCTCCATTCAATTTAGAAAGATAACATTGGGTCAGCTAAGGGTCGGCCAGTTCAACAATGGTGAGGGGCTGGGCCCGTGACAGCCCCGGATCTGGACGTGTGGATGGGACAATGCAGAGTTGGCAGAAGCTAAGACCTCCCACCCCAGCAAAGTCCCCCAGCCATCAATCTTGGAGGCTGAAGCTGGAGATCAAAACACACTGAAATAGCAAAGTGTTCTCAAAAAATTTATTGTCATTTCAGATAGATGGCAATAAATATCCAGTCCTGGCAGAGGAAGGTCTGGGTGTTCTTTTGGTGCAAACTTGAAACGTTGGCTCATTAATAGGACAGAGGATTGAAAAATAAACTCAGCCAGAGCTATTAAAAGTGGTTAGGGAATAAGAGCTTTAGGAAAAATAAGGGCTCATTCCCCTCTCCCCTTTTTTTTTTTTGGTGTGAGGGAAGATGGTTCATTTGCACCCATCTGATGTTTAGAGTTTAAAAATAGAGTAAGTGTCCATTTCAAGTACGGATAATAAATCGAATGGAACCAGCTAAGCGTTCCATCTTTAAATAAGAAGCCCCCAGAGGACTTGCATATTAATGAAGAGATAATAATTAGCACATAAATTATACACAAATGGATGCCTGTAACTTCACCAAATCTTATTCCTCCCATAAATCTATCAAAGACTGTGTAACGTGCGAAGAGAAGTTGTACCCCCTCCTTCCTACAGATTTCTCTCCACCTACTTGCTGGCCTTCCCTATTGCACATTTTCTCATTCACTCATTCATTCATGCATCCCTTCACTCATTCAACAGACACCGACTGAACACCAACTGCGTGTCAGGAGACGCGCAAAATGAGGGTTTGGGAGGCCTTAGAAGACCCGATCTTGTATTTAGTTTACCCAAAGTAACCCAGTCACCCAAAGACATGCTTGTTGCACAGCATGGGACAGGCACCAGCATATGGGCATCAAGGGAGCTCTCTGCTGGTGTCGTGGGGGAGGCGAGGGGCACCTTCTGTGTGCTAGGGTGTTACTATTGCAAATGACAGGGATGTGGCCCTACACTGAATGAATGGCTGGCTGGCTCTCAGCCTTAGATGAAGATCCACCAATGAATTCGGAAGGTCCCAAAGTTTGGGTTGGAGCGGACGGGAAGCTTCTTCCCTCCAAATCAGTCAGTAAGACAAGACATGTAGGAATTATGCGGTGGGGGGCTCAGCTCCTGGGAAATGTTCTTTACGCATCAGTTGTCTGCCTTTTCCCCTCCTCTCTCCCTCCTTCCCCCTGTCTGCCCTTGTTTTCTTCCTCTACTCCCTCCCTATAAATCTGTATACTTGTCTATTACAAGTGTGCTATATATTATCATTTAAGTGTATTATACATATTTTAAATATTTATATATTTGTAAATCTATAGATCTATAGGTGTTCGGTGTTCAGTGACAACTTAAGTCAAGTCAGGTTGGTAGATGGCTCCTTAGAGGACTATACTGATGCCTGGCAGAAGGTTCTAAACAGACATCGGTGAGATCCTGCCTAATTATGGAGACTGGAGTTTTCATTGATTGTTATGAAATAAATTTAGTTTCAGTAAAGAGGCATCGGTGTGGTTCTTTTTGAAAGAAGTAGTTGCAAAGAAATAGCATCAACCAAACATGACCTGCGGGCTTCTTCTTTCTGAGTAGCATGATGCTTAATGAAAAGTTAGGTGTGTCATGTATTCCCGGGTGTGCCCCGGGCGCCACCTGTCCTTACTGTCTTAACTATCCTTACCTGACCACGTCCCGAAGAAATTAGTATCTACAGGCCATGATGAAGTAGACAGACCCTGAGCCTGGGAGGAAGGAGGTCTGGGTTTGCTCCAGTCCAATCTCTTTTGTCTAGGATGAGTTCATTGTCATAGAATCTAAGATCCCTTTCTACACTAAGATTCAGTGATTCTAGACTAGATCTGGATAGAGAGAGATGTCCATGATGTGGTCAGAAACCAAGAGCAGTATGTTAAAACCAAAGAAATGCATTAAGTTATCTTGCAGAAAATGCCCATCAGATGAATGTGTTAAATAATAACCACTGGCATGGACTTAGCCTTGATAATGACATCTAGACAGTGAGATCTCACGGCTCCCTCCTGGAGAAGCTATTGGGATTCCATCAGCCAATCATCCTCCCTGGGAGGTACCAGTGCCGGGCGGCCAGTGGACTTCAACATCTGGTCTTCCTCGATGGGTCACAGGTTTGTGATGTGTTTCAGGTCCCCCCGGGTTGCCTGGTCTGAATGGCTTGCATGGTTTAAAGGGTCAGAAAGGATCCAAAGGCGCTTCAGGTAAGAGAAAATCCTCTGCGAGCGATTGAACTGCCACCAGCAGACCGCTAGATACTGCTGGCATTCCTTCAGTACACACGATTTGGGGTGCATAACTAAGAAACTGGCTTAACTTAGTGACACACTATTGAGCTATTTTTAGTAATGAAGATGACTTACATAAGAAGGGCACTTGAGAAAACCCAATTTAAGAAGGAATGGCTGGTTACCAGTGACGTCCGTTGATGTTACTTGGGGCTTTCTCTTTGCTAAAAATACTCTGAATAATTGCTTAGGTGGAGCTAGATTTCAGAATGCCACAAAGAAATGGTTGGGAGATTTTTTTTTTCTTTTTGGTATTGTTTTAAGTGTTGTGCTGCCAAGCACGACCCCATGGATCTAATTAGTAGTTTTAGCACCCCTCGGTAGGCTGCTGCTAAAACAAATTACCTGAACAGATTGCTGGTATTTTTGTTACCACAAATAGGCTAATCATTAACAACTGCATTTGAGTTTGTTCTAGAGGGGTTTTTAAAAAATTTTTTTAATGTTTATTTATTTTGAGAGAGAGAGAAAAACAGAGCATGAAGAGGGGAGGAGCAGGGAGAGAGGGAGACACAGAATCCAAAGCAGGCTCCAGGCTCTGAGCTGTCAGCACAGAGCCCGATGCGGGGCTCGAGCCCACGAACTGTGAGATCATGACCTGAGCCGAAGTCAGACGCTTAACCGACTGAGCCACCCAGGTGCCCCATTCTAGAGTTTTAATATAGTGCCTGTTTGCTGTCTCAGAAAAACAACTTGCAATCAGACAAGGCAGCTGGAATCAGACACTGAGGATTGAGGGTCTCTGAGTAGAGAGTTGGGGTGTTGTGCTGCTAGGTTTGACCCCATTGCTGGAGAGAGACAGAATCTTTATACAGTTCGGAAGTTCAAGAATTAACCTAGGTCATGTAGGATTCATTTAAGTGGCTCTTGCAAATGGTCTGATCATATGTGTACCTCCCTGGAGAAACCAATGATGTTCTTCCTTTTCCGTGTGAAATTCTGCAGTGTTTCCATTCATATGTCAATTTCCACCTTCAATTTCAAACCAGTTTGTTCATTACGACTTCTTGTTGGATCTCATTGGAGCGTTGATAAGCTGGTGTATTGTTGTTGTTTTTAATCTGGGAAATAACCACAAAACAAACCCAGCCTGTGGCTGACCATGTGATAGGGTGCAGGATGGTACGTGGTGACCCAGGGGGAGTCCGCAGCCTTTTGGGTCACCACCGGGGAGGCGGTTGTTCTCAGCACAACCTGCTGTGTCCCTGTCACCCTGTTTGGAAGCAGTTCTTTTCCCGGAGCCACAACAGGAACGAACAGGGAGAAGACACAATGCTAATGCTGTTTCCCTCATTCAGGTTTGCATGAAGTGGGCCCACCTGGTCCAATGGGCATACCTGGGCCGAAAGGGGAGACCGGAGACCCGGGGAGCCCAGGAATTTCTCCCCCAGGACTTCCTGGAGGAAGAGGTCCCCCCGGGCCCCCAGGTAAGAAGCAGCATGCTTTCCCCCCTCTATCAATAACTAAATCAAAACCTTCCAAATGTGATGAGGCTGACCTCCGCACACGTCCCTCCTCAGGGCGACCTGGATCACCTGGGCCTGAAGGTGCCAAAGGAAGAGCCCCTATAGGCGTCATTCCTGACCCGGGTCCACCCGGAGATCAGGGACCCCCCGGCCCTGATGGTCCAAGAGGTATGAGAAAATCCCGGCAGAGGGTGGTGGCTCCTTTCCTTAGATGCTGCAGGTCCGGAGGATCGTGGGACCAGAGAATGGCAGAGTCACAGGCCCGCAGCAGCCCCGGCAGCCTGGTGATGGGAGAGGCAGAGTGTGGGCAGTGCCCGGCTGCCGGGACCACCCCCAGGGGCCGGAGCTCAGAGCTCAGGCTTCTGTCCCGCTCTACCAGGCACCTCTGTCTGGGGACACACTCTGACTCCCCACAGACCTTTTGTATTGCCAGCACCAGGGGGTGCTGAGCACAAGGGGTCAGAAGTGGCTTGCGGGGGTTGGGGAATATTACTCTGCCTATTGGTCTCTAGCACCTGCCGTGTACACCACGATCGGCCAGCGTGACCACGCCCAGGCCTGGCACACACACGCATAGTCTGTTCCAGTGCTGCTGACAGCACATGTTCCTCTCAGCCCTTGGCAGGGACGGAGTCCAGCAAGGCAGGATCTCACAGCGTAGGGGGCTGAATGGCACCGGCTGGGGTGTGGGGGACAGAGCGCGGTGCCATGGGGTTCTGCAAAGTGCAGACGACCGTGTTCCTAAGAGCTCACGGAGCTCTTTCGGAGAGACCCACCCCTCTGCCTTTAAGTCTTTGGTATTTTAGTCAAGGTGGGATAAAATGATACATGATTCTGTTTTACACTGAGAAAAATGAAAATCCTCAAAAATATTCGAGGAAGCTAAGTAGACTAGGACTTGGGCTCACTTCCTGTGTAGACACCTGTTTTCAAATAGAATCATACATGGAATTGAGTGACTATTCCTTTTCCATCAGCCAGGTTTTCTCAAAAGCCTGCCATCTATCTGTTCGCCCATCTGTCCTTCTGTCGTTCCATCTGTCCTCCTACCTGTCATATGAAAGCAGTGGGATGACATGCAAAGAAAAGCCATAAAACCATGCTTCCAGAAGGAATGACTTGGAAGGGAGATTCATTTGTCTGACGGTTGCTAACGGACCACTTACACCATCTCCCAGCTTGAGCTCCAGAAGACACTCTCTGTTTCGCTTCTGAGACTGTCCATTATTTTTTTCATTCCTCTAATCCCCCCATCTCTTGCTTGCATTCCGTTCCTTTCCTTAAGAAGCTCTCAGGCAGCCAGCACCCGCATTTGTCCTTGACTGAAAGACGCTTCTGTTTCTTCCTTGTGGTCAGGAGCACCCGGGCCTCCGGGCCCCCCTGGGAGTGTTGACCTTCTAAAAGGGGAACCAGGAGACCGGGGTCTGCCGGGTCCCCCGGGTCCCCCGGGCCCACCAGGCCCTCCAGGACGCAAAGGCTTCCCGGGATGTGATGGAAAAGATGGCCAGAAAGGTAGGAATGCGAGTTCTTTCTGAAGCAGTGCGTGAAGACTTTTGCGATTGTGCCCCTCTGGGTCTGGGGTGCTGCACCATAGGGCGGTAACTCTCATTTTCTACAGAAATAGTGACTACGTTTCCCAAATGTCCTGACTCTTCCAAAGAGTCTTAAGGTTTGGGTGACGTTTGGGTAAGTAAGAAGAAGAAACACAAGTTCATCTTCAGCCCCTAATAACATAGTTGATAATCCCCTAGACCAGAACTGAGCAATAGAAATAAAGCACAAGTGGGGCATCTGGGTGGCTCGGTCAGTGAAGTGTCCAACTCTGGATTTTGGCTCAGGTCATGATCTCACCATTTGTGAGCTCAAGCCTTACGCTGGGCTCTGCGCTGACAGTACAGACTCTGCTTGGAATTCTCTCCCTGCCTCTCTTTCACTCTCTCAAAATAAATAAATAAACGTTTATATATATATTATATTATATACATTATATACATTATATATATAATACATAATATATACATATATACATTATATATATAATACATAATATATATACATATATATTAAAAAGAAATATAATGCAAGCTACACATGTAATTAAAAGTTGTAGTAGCCACATTTTAAACAGTAGAAAGAAATAAGTGAAATGAACTTTCATTTTTCCTTTAACATAATACATCCAAATGTTGCCTTAGCAGATCATCACTGGTATAACCAGGGCCATTCGTACGAACCTTGCTCATCTCCCGGTTGAGACGCCTCTCCTCTCGTGTGTGTTTACACTTCCAGCATGGCCCAGTGTGGATGTATCAATTTCAAGTGTTCAGTAGCCACACTTGGTTAGTGGCTTCTGTGTTGGACAGTTTGGGTTTAGACTGCTGGCCTTGCTCATTTATAGTTGTGAGAGAGTCTCCGTTACCGAATTCCCCCACTATCTAAAGCTAAAATATTTTTTTAATTCATTTTTACCTAACTGCTAATATTTGACACCATTAGTTTTTGGTCACCAGAACTTCAGAGAATGATTCAGTTCATAGAACTTTTTTTGTTGAAAAGGGACCAATAATGGCTATTCATTTTAACTCCCTTAATGTCATAGATAAGTAACTATTGAAGTCTGCCCAATAACTGGTACCCTGCCTGACGTCTGAACCATGCGCGAAATAAAGCAAAAAATTAGGGCAAAAAGAAGATCAAAACGACATGACTACAGCGCAAATGGCATCCCTGTAATGGTGCAGTGCACACTCTGCACAACAGCACACAACAACCCTCTTCAACTTTATTGGCAATAAAATCAATTTTATTTTATTTTTTTACTTTTTAATGTTTTATTTTATTTTTGAGAGAGACAGAGTGTGAGTGGGGGAGGGGCTGAGAGAGAGAGAGAAAGAGAGAGGGAGACACAGAAACTGAAGCAGGCTCTAGGCTCTGAGCTATCAGCACAGGGCCCAACTTGGGGCTTGAACCCACGAACCTTGAGATCTTGACCTGAGCTGAAGTCGGACACTCAACCACCAGGCGCCCTTACAATAAAATCAATTTTAGAGAATGTGGCTTATCTCTGCAGCTATGTGGGCTTCCAATTATTGAACCCCAGAATTGAGCAAACCTGCTAGCAGGCTAAGTCCCCAAAAGGAAGGTTAGCTATACAGCCTTGTTCCTTTCCCAAGTCAGACAGTCCTCCTTCCCAGCTGCTACTCTAGAGAATGAACTTCCACCTGGAAATATGCTTCACGATTGGGGAATAGCATGCAGTGTAAGTACAGTGGCCTACCAAAGGACACACAGAGAGTTAGAAATATTATTGAAATCATTAAGTGTGCTTCTTAACTCCCACCACAGTGGGCATGTGGCCCAAAGAGTGTTTAGCTGTGGAAAGGAGGAGGGGCTTTCTTTATTTTATGTCCTCAGACTTCGGGGGAAATACAGAAAAACCTTGGTTTGCGATCATTATTCGTTCCAGAAACATGCTTATAATCCAAAGTGCTTGTATATCAAAGCGAATTTCCCCATGAGAAGTCATGGAAACTCAGATGATTCATTCCATAACCCAAAATATTCCTATAAAAGTGATCACAACACTGTAAAATAATAAAAGCAATAAAGAAAATACAAAATATAAGGGATAATAAACAAATTGACCTGCACTTACCTTTGAAAACCTTCATGGCTGATGTGAGGGAGACAGAAAGAGGAGGGTTATTGTGTAGGACGACTTTCACTCTCACCAATGGACTCACTGCTGTTGCCTCAATGGAATCTTCTTCTGCATGGGGGCCATTGTATCCACCACACAGGCATTGACTACAGTATAGTATTAATAAACTCATCATACACTGTATTGAATGTAACTGGCAATAATAAGGCAGCAGAGGAAAGGGTCTATATCTGCAGGCAGCCTGACCTAGAATGAAGCAAAGCATTCCTAAGCTCACTCTTGGATGGAAAAGCAAAAGACTGTCCACAGGTGCCTTCAAGTGACAAAAACTACACTAATGCCAGTTGTGGGCACCCTCCAGCATTCTGAAAAATCACTGATTTCTGCCAAACACCATGGCCTGAGACAGAGCATCTGAGCATGGGAGATGATCACCCACAATCCCTCAGTGGGAGGGGGAGGCATGGGGAGAGCACTATCGGCTCAGCTGTGATCATGTGACATTCGGCATCACGTGCTCCTGGTATTACAAGACATCACTCGTTGATCAAGTTAAAATTTATTAGAAATGTTTGCTCATCCTGTGGAACACTCACAGAACAAGCTACTCGCAATCCAAGGTTTTGCTGTATTTGATCCATCCCACAAATATCTATTGGGTACCTACGGGGAGGAAAAAGTGAACAAGTTTAAACAGAGTCCTCACTGGTATTCAGCATAGGGTTTCATGGGGGGAGACAGACATTCACACTAAAAGGTCTTCCAGATAAATGGAGGCAGGTGCTCTGAGTAAAGGAAACACAATTCCAGAGAATTGGGTTGGGGCTTCAGAGATGGCTTTCCTGAGGAAGTGAGACTTGCTGAGCACTGAGAATCAGGCCTTGGTGGGCACAGAAGAGAAAGAGCACATGTGAGGCACTGAATGGCCAGAGGGGCTGAGGAAGAGAGGTAGGAGCTCGGGGCACATTTTCCCAGATGCCCAAGCGCCATTCCCTGTTCTCCCTTCCAGTCCTCTGTCTCTGGAGAAAGTTCAGGATTACAGAGCTTTTCATTCTGCTTTAGTTCTGTGTTGATCACGAGACCATTTTCCTTAGTCCTTTTTTGTTTTTTTTTTAATGTTTTTATTTATTTCTGAGGAAGAGAGAGAAAGGCAGCATGAGCAGGGGAGGGTAGAGAGGGAGACACAGAATCAGAAGCAGGCTCCAGGCTCTGAGCTAGTTGTCAACATAGAGCCTGATGCGGGGCTCGAAACTGTGTGATCATGACCTGAGCCGAAGTTGGACCCTTAGCCGACTGAGCCACCCAGACGCCCCTTCCTTAGTCGTTTTGATAGACCATTGTGTTTCCTTCAGGACGAGGCAGCTCTTCTCGGCTTTAAGAAAAAAGTGAGAAACTCGCCTGAATTCTAAGGCCGACTTGACCCTGAATTTCACTGAAAGTGACCCTGGGTTCAGCCCATCAGACTGGCATTGTCTTGATATTGTCTGTTCCAGGTCCCCATTTTTATGTTCCTTGTAGGACCAATTGGATTCCCAGGACCGCAGGGGCCACCTGGACTTCCAGGACTACCTGGGGAGAAGGGTTTGCCTGGCTTTCCAGGCAGCCCAGGGCCCCCTGGGCACCCAGGTAAGCTCCGACTGCATAATCGTCTCACCCAGCAAGCCTACGTACAGCCTTTTTAAGAAATATTAACTGCGAGGGTCCACTTTCAGAAAGTAATTATCCTGAAATTGCCTGCAATTTCTTCTGAGTTTGGCCATTTCCAATATAAAGATTATGTTTATTTCAGGCCTCACTACAGAGTCTTGTGCCTGGTAAACTAATATTTATTATTAGAATGAGTAAGTGTGCAAATTAGGAGTTGATTTTACATGCAGGATTTCTAAGGTAGATAAATCCCTATTCCCTCACACAAGAGGCAAAGACTATTCGATTATTGTACGTGAGGACTGTCTGTTCATTTCTGTGCCTGAATTCCTGTTGATTTTCCTAGATGTCTCATTTAACTTTGTCTGTAAGCACATTAGTTCCTGTGAAGACGAGAAAGCTATTCAGTTTAAGCTCGGTAGCTAACACGTTTCCATCCTCGGGTCAAAACCAGCCAAGAAAGATTTGGAAGGGCAAACAGACGTGTGTATTTGAGATCGGCAGAAGGAATATCTTTGGAGACCCTAAATCAATATGATGATAATGTGGTGTCCACTCAGAACATTTTGCAACCATTTCAATTAGCACTGTCGTCCAAAGAATAAATAAGCCACTCCTTTCCGGCGGATCATAGAACAACATGATTAAGAACTTATACTTGGATCCATCTCATACTTCCTTTCTGTGCATACCCTGTAAAACTTGGCTAAATAATATAAATAATATGAAATTTTCAGAAGCCTGCCCATGAATGGAATTTTATATATGTTAGATTGGGGTACATTTGCCATCCGAAATCAGCTCAAATTTTATATTGTGCAAGAGAGCTTTATTTTAGGTTTTTCTAGACATGAACATTCCCTTACGAAATTATAGCTGTTCTTGTCAGTAATAGCGACGTGGACATGTTATGTAAATGAGATGCTGTCATTTTGCTCATCATTGATGCTATCCTCACATTGTTATGTGTATTCTTGAATAACCTATTTCGCTTTTGTCCGAATTCACAAATTTAACATCTCTTTCTACCGTATGAAAATCATCTCATGGTGCTCTGCTTTTCGGCTTTGGATCTCTCCAGGTGCCAGAGGTAAGCATCGCTATAAAATTAGTAGTTTCCTCTAAATCTGGTTTCTACTTATTTCTGTACTTGCCTTCTCCACTCTAATTGTGAGTTAAACTTTGTTACATTTTCATAGATGGGGCGCTATAATTATATGAGGTTTCAGAGCATTCGCTTCCTCATTACGGATATGGTAACCTCGCATTAGAGCATCCTACAGCCGAGCTTCATTATAGGTTGTCAAGGCAGGGAAAACACTCGGCTTACATAATTTCAGTTCAGGCTCAGAGCATGAGTGTTTCTCTGTCAAGTGCTACAGTATGTACCAATGCGAGCTTTTTATGAATTCTACAATATAAATACATAGGACATCCCTAAAATAAGTAGCAGCAACAGTATGAAAAGAGGAAGGAGTCCTTTGCACCCAGTAAGGGGCTGTGACAAGGTTTTCCCATAACATCGAAGTCCACATTCAAAGAGCAAATTTCTTTGCATGTTACGATGAAAATGCCATCATTGTTTTAAGCTAAGCGTTCACTTGCCCCTCCGCAAGGCAGAAGCAACATATTATTTCGTATCTGGGGTTTTCAAAGAGACTAAAAAGAGTTTCTCAAACAGGAAGTGTGCACACATTTGCCCTTTCCTGGCCTTTGTTATTAACCCCAGTGAAAATTGGTCTGGAATGTGGGGTCCTTACATAAGAGACACTATGGCCCCTCTCATTTCAGCTTCTGGTTTATTAAAAATTAAAGAAAAGCAAAAGCAGAAATTTTTTTAAAAAATCCTGCTATTTTAAATGTTCATATTTAAACATTTCAATTTTGGGGCACCTGGGTGGTTGAGTGGGTTAAGCATCCAACTCTTCATTTCCACTCCAGTTATGATCTCACTGTTCGTGGGTTTGAGCCCCATGTCGGGCTTTTTGCTGACAGTGCAGAGCCTGCTTGGGATCCTCTCTCTTCCTCTCTCTCTCTGCCCCTCCCCACCCCCCGCTGTGTGCTCTCTCTCTCGCTCTCTCTCTCAATAAACTTAAAGAAATAAAATAAAATTTATAATATCATATTTAATGTTTCCACCTCCATCCTTTTAGTGTCTCTCTGGACATGTATGTATAAACTCATTTGAAGGTAACGTCAGAATCCTAAATATGAAGCACCAGCCAAACACCTACCCCCTGTTCCCTTACCTGCTTCCTTCGCTCCATCAGAATTCACAAGGTTATTCAGGGAAAACAGAAATTATCCATATGAATCTCCCTCAAGTCACCCAGAGAGGAAAAGGCCATGTTTTACATTAAACTGTATGTACTATAAATACACAACCAACTCAGTCAGTGTACCCTATGTTATCACTATGGCCACATTTTCTACAATTTTCTTGCTGCCTAATCAATGCTATTCTTTTATTATTTTTTAATGTTTATTTACATTTGAGAGACAGCATGAGCAGGGGAGGGACAGAGAAAGAGAGAGACACAGAATCTAAAGCAGGCTCCAGGCTCTGAGCTGTCAGCACAGAGCCCGATGCCGGGCTCGAACTGATGAACTGTGAGATCATGACCTGAGCCAAAGTCTGAGCTACCCAGGTGCCCCTAATCACTGCTATTCTTAAACTTTTTTTTTGCACATTCATGTGAATTTTAAGAAAACCATAACTGATAAGCAGCGTGTTTGAAAATACGTTGTATTTTGGGGTGCCTGAGTGGCTCAATCGGTCAAGTGTCCAACTTCGGCTTAGGTCATGATCTCACAGTTCAGGAGTTTGAGCCCTGCATTGGGCTCTGTGCTGACAGCTCAGAGCCTAGAGCCTGCTTCACATTCTGTGTGTCCCTCTCTCTGTCCCTCCCCTGCTCACGCTCTGTCTCTCTCTCTCAAAAATAAATAAACATTAAAAAATTGAAAAAATAATAAAATATGTTGTCTTTCTTGGGATTGATCACACTGGTGTGAAGAGTTCTGTAGGCAATATGGTGTTGTGATTAAGAGCTCAGATTTGGAACCAGGCCATCTTGGATTTTAATCTAGATTCTGCCATGTGTTACCTGCATGACCTTAGATATGTCACTTATTTACCTGAGCCTTGATTTTCTTACCTGTAATATTCTAATAATAGCAGCACACACACATGGGCTTGTTAGGAGACTTTAATCATAAAGAAATTAGCACAGAGTCCAGTGCGTGATAAGCCATTCAATAATGCTGTTATTATTATGTTAGCTGTTATCATCATTGGTTAGTATTATTAGTATTTCTCTTCCCTTGTGGATTATTTGTAGGGTGACTGAATGAAGCTTTAGAAAAAATGTCTTGGGACACCTGGGTGGCTCAGTCAGTTAAGTCTGACTGGCTCAAGTCATAATCTCACGGTTCATAAGTTGAAGCCCCACTTTGGATCCTCTGTCCCTCTCTCTCTCTGACCCTCTCCTGCTCGTTCTCTCCCTCTCAGATATAAACCCTAATTTTTTAATGCTTATTTATTTTTGAGAGAAATAGACAGAAAGCAAGTAGGGGAGAAAAAAAGGGGGAGACACAGAACCCAAAGCTGACTCAAGGCTCTGAGCTGTCAGCACAGAGCCCTACGCGGGGCTCGAAACCCACACGAGCATGACCTTAGCTGAAGTCAGTCGCTTAACCGACTGAGCCACCCAGGTGCCCCTCAAAAATAAACTCATAAAAGAAAAAGAAGAAAAGAAATCTTAAAGATGTGAACATAAGCAAGTAGGAAAAACATTCACACCTTTAGAGCGTGCTTCTCCAAGTGAGATCCCCTGATCAGCACCGTTAGCCTCACCCGGGAACATGTTAGACGTGCACATGTTGGGGTCTACTCCAGACCCACGTGCTCAGAAACCCCGGGCCCTGGCAAGCTGGCCAGATGAGCCTGATGTGCAGACACCAGAACTCTAGCTCCTTAGTGCTCAGCAGTACTGACGCCCCGGCTGGCAGTGCAGTGATCCGCGGAGTTTGAAAAACTGCTGATGCCCAGGTCCCACCCCCAGAAATTCCTACTTAATATGTCTAGGTGGGGTCCCAGCACTGGTACTTTTGGAAAGCTCCCAGGATGGGTTTATTATACAGTCAAGCTTGAGGGCACTGCCCCGGCCACGTGTCCTACAGTTAAATCAGTATTTCTGGGATGGGACCCCACCATCAGCAGATTGGTATAGTTCCCTGGAAAATTCCAGCCAACACATACTCAAGGCTGAAAGGTGCTGCTGTGATGCCTCTGGCCACCTTGAAATTCTGTCTGAGTCACAGACACTATGGAAGCCCGCGTGGCTCAAATGTACAATGAATGGATTAGAGACACATTCAGTTGAGCACAGGAACCAGTGATAGTCTCCCCTTGCTACGTGTGGCCACCACTCCGTAAAAAGTTGCCCAAAGATTGGAAATCCGGTGGAGGTCACCAAACTATTGCTGCCCCAGTCAACTTTCTCTGTTCCATACTTTTTTGGTTCCTCTGAGATCCCATTCATTCAGTCAGCCAGGCATTAGTTTATGTAACAAAATGCTCTCTGGAAATTCGTCACGTGCCCCACGGTGAACAGCAGCCCCACCTTCACGGAGCTTCTGTTGGGTGGTTGAACACTGTTGGGTTCTTCAGTATAGCGGCTGAAGCCCATCTAACTTGAGAATGCAGAAGGAGCTCATTTGTAAGATTCAAGTCAATCACGAGTCCATCACACAAGCCGTGATTCCCATTTCAGGTGAACCAGGGCCACCAGCAGATGTGGATTCCTGCCCCCGAATCCCTGGGCTTCCTGGGGTACCAGGCCCAAGAGGACCAGAAGGAAGCATGGGGCCCCCTGGAATGAGAGGCCCCCCAGGAGCAGGTACAAGCCTCACGCTCACTGTTCATTATCTGCATCTTGTGCTGCTGGAATGCAAATCTCACTGTCTTGCTATGTAGTGTTTCACGTGCAGCCTAAACAATTCGCGAGTAGGAAGCAACGCAGTCCCTTTGCTCTTATACATTTCTCTATGTTTATCCAAAGGTTTGGTCATGTCCTAACCGAGTGATACATGCCTCCTATTTTTATGCTGAACTCCTACTTGAATCCTCTATGTTTCATACTTTGGCAGCTTTGGGCCACAAGGTTTTGAAGCCTCTTACACAACCTGCTAGATGCTCTATTGATAGTCATTAGTAGTGGTTGACTTGATTTTGCATTACAAACACTTGAACTGGGGCTCAGTGGAGTAGAGACAGCTATGAGAAGCTGGGAAGGAAACATATCGCTTAGCGGAGGGAGAGGGGAAAGGGCAGGGTCACCCTAAATTATGGCCGTGACTGGAGTGTTCCTTTAATTGATGTGAGTGTTGCTCAGTCATTCTCACGGTAGTGGAATCCTTATGTAAGTACTTAAACCAAACCATTCCCTTAAAAAGCCTCCTCCAAATGCTTAATTTTCTCTTCACAGATCCCTACCACACTGGTAATTTATAAAGAGATTAGGGAGTCCGGGATGGTCATCTAGAGGTCACTGATCTCTTCAGACCAATTGGCAGTGCCCATGATTCTAGATCGCACGTGTGCAAGTCACCCTAAGAGGCCATTTTCTTTTCTGTTTTCCTACCTGTTTTCCCAGCCATGGCTTTGGCCAAGGAATTGGAAGTAGAACTTGAATTTTGCACCACTTGGTGTGTGTGTGTGTGTGTGTTTGTGTGTGTGTGTGTGTGTGTGTGTGTGTGTTTTCCCAAAGCCAAGCAGCTAAGGGGTCTGAATCATTCTTGAGTCGTGTCCAGAGAACAGCTCTGTAGCCTCCCTTATGTTAGTATGGGGGTCTTTGATGTTTGTATTTGCTGCATTGCATGCGTGAGTGTGCACTAAATTACTTGCGTGTCCACTGGAGCGACTTCCATTAACAGCACACGAGCACTAGGAAGTGAACGTAGTTCTTAGGCACTCACTGCATGGATAGTTTGCAGTCTTCAGAACAACTCACCATCCAACCTACGTTTAAAACCAACCGGCTTGTTGTATATATTGTTGTGCAGTATTGAGGGCTGAGACACCTCCCTTCCCCCATCTCACACACAGACACACACACACCTTTAAATAAATTAACTCTCAAGTAGAAGATATGGCCAGTAATGGAGTTCTGGAAATTTAATTCAGGAAACACTTCCAGATCCCCCACACTCTTTAGAAAGTGCAGTACCGGGTGTTGTGGGCAATACAAATGTAGGTAAGATGCGTTTTCTCCCCATCGGTGCCTCACAACCTCATGGCAGAAATAGCCAGCAGAATAAAAGTAACTCTAAATAATGGGAGATTATGTGCTTTGAAGGAGATTCTGGCACAGGCATTGGGACAGTGGGCCAGGGAGAGGTGAACTTGAGCATGGAGGCCTGCAGGGCTGCTGAGACCCAGACAAGAGCTGGCCTTTGAGCAGAGCCTTTGCGGAAGGTTTGGGCTTTGAGGAACCAGAATTGTCCGGCAGGGAGATGACAGCGGCACAGAGGGGGTTGGTTGGCTTAAGAGCCTGGTGACGAAGTCAGCCACATCCTTGCTACTCTAAGTGTGGTCCGAGGGCCAGTAGCAAGTCAGGCCACAGACCTACCAAGTTAGAATCTACATGTTAACAAGAGGCCTGGAATATGTGTAGATCCACTCAAGTTGGAGCTACCCTAACCATGTTGCATGAATGCTGTCCAGAGTCAGCTAAGAGTGACACCATCCCTAGTGACTCAGTCCTAGCTGTAGGTCAAAGTCACCTGGAAGGCCTGGGCCTCCTTCCAGCCCAGTGGAATGCAGGGGGATGCAGGGCCCATGTGCCAGTGTTTGGGAAAAGCTCACGCCATGACTCAAGTGAACAGCCAGGGTTGAGACCCAGTGCTGGACCCCAACACCAGTGGAGACAAGTTGGGTGGCTGGGCTCACCCACTTGGTGGCTTGGGCAAAGACCCAAAGAAGGTTACTGAGAAGAAAAAATCAAATGGGCAAATAGTTATCTTGGACACATAGAAGATGCTCTCTCCATAGATCAGGAGCTTCTGAAAGAAGGCTGACAGTCTACACAGGCCCAGGTGTGATCGCCTGTCATCTCTCGTTCTGGCTGGGGTGGGGTCAGATGGGTTCATCCGGTTGCAGGTGGCCTCAGAAGGGTCTTCTCTGGCTTTCTGGGTCCTCTCCTTTTTTTTTTTTTTTTTTTTAACATTTTTATTTTATTTCTAGGAGAGAAAGAGAGACAGCGTGAGCAGGGGAGGGTCAGAGAGAGAGAGGGAGTCACAGACTGAAACAGGCTCCAGGCTCCGAGCTGGCAGTCAGCACAGAGCCCAACGTGGGGCTTGAACCCACGAACCGCGAGATCATGACCTGAGTGAAAGTCGGACGCTTAACCGACTGAGCCACCCAGGCGCCCCTTTCTGGGTCCTCTCCTTATTGATGGCACTGACCCTGCCAGCTGGCAGTGGGGACACCTGAGGCCACCATCGTACTACAAAATGTGACCGTTATGTTAAAAAAAAAAAAGTGCTCAGCCCTTCCTGCAAAGCACTTCCCGCTCTCCCACAGTATCAGAGCAGGGCTGCTCCATGCTCAGCTTCCCGGGGGGACCTTTCTACTCCCCTGTGTCCCCACTCCCAAGCTAGTGTCCCCTTCTGGGCCCCTCTTCTCTGCCATGGGTCTCCGGCCCCTGTTGTAAAGGACCCCTCTTTGCCTGTATATATTCTTTCACCTCTTCGCTCCCTGCTCACCACCTGGATACATCAGCTACCCTGTCCCATTACTAAAAAGCGACCAGTCTCTTCTGAGGGTCTCATGCGCCCTCACCACTGACTTGGGTCATGCGCAGGACATGTTGTTCATCACCTGTCTATTTTCTGAAGGCATTTCTTCCAGCATGGTGTTGGGGGCTCACTGTGCCGCCCCCAGGGCTGGTTGTGAAGGATCAGCTGAGCTCAGGAAGCACCACTTAGAATGACATCGTTGGTTTCTTCTTGTTTTCCCTTCTAAACCTCTTCCATCGCCTAGCTGGTCTGTAACCAGCTGCCACAGCTGAGATCTATACAGAAGCAAACAAAGTTCTGGCTCTTTCCTGCCTAGTAGGAGTGGGTAACAGCCACACTAAATATAACTCAGGTCTGTTAAGAGCCCCCCCACCATGGAAGACCTAATGTTTTTCTGCTCACATGCCTCTTTGATCTATATCTTTTCCTTCCCGGTGGGGGAGTGGGGGTGGGGAGAGGCTCAAAGGCTGGGGCTTCCTGGGATGAACACAGAGGTGGTTTCCATATGGGTTTGAACTGTTACTGCCTAATGGACACCTCCTCACATCCTGTTAGAGTGTGTTTAATCTTCAAGTCAACACGTGACACTCTCAGAGGAGGCAATCCATCAAACACTGGGGAGCCTTTAGATGTGGCTCTAGTCCTTAAAACAAGTTCCAAGTGGAGAATGGTCCACACGGTGAAAGCTCTGGGCACTCAGCTCAGGTTAACAAAAGCTTCCCTCCCTATCTCTGGAAATTGCTTGACAATTTCTCCAAAGGGAGCAAAGAGCCTGTATCATCACATCTGGAGGGGGGACTCCTTGCCCCAGATCGACAGAGATCTCGCTGCAGGTCCATATTTCAGGAAGACGCCTGCTGCCTTTTCATTGATCAGCCCGATGGTTGGCTTGTCAGCACTTGGGCAGCCCTTTCAGTGTATAGCACAGTGGCCTCATGTTGAGATCCTCTCCTCAGGTGGGAGAGATGAAGGAAGCTCTGAGCTCACCATCAGGGCCCTGTGTTCCTTCCAAAGTAGCTGATGTTCTCTTTGAAGCAGGTGGAAAGGGATGTGGCAGCCAGCATACAGCAGCCCCACCCAGAGAGAGGGCTCTGCCCCATTACTGGAAAGGAGAAGGCATCTCTCACCCAGATGGGGAGAGGGAGAGGCTTCCTTTCTCCCTTACTGAATGATGACCACGTACCGAATGCAGTCCAGGAACCACGTGACAAGCCAAGAGAATTTGTTTAAAACCCAAGGAAGCAGAAAGTGAAATGATAGCACGCCGAAGGCCAGGAATGCCAGGGGTACCCACAGAAGCTCTGCCAGCATGGAATGTGGGGCGAGGGGCTGGCTGGCTGTGGGGACAGAAGGAGGGCGTTTGTATGGGCCACTCTTAGGCAGGCAATGTTAGAACAGAATTTCAAAAGCACTGAGGTTTGCAGGGGTATGCGTCTCAGATGGTACTAAGAGGGGGCCCCGTGTGAGATGGGAAATTGAGTGGAACATCCACCTATTCACCCGAGTACAGCAGTCCCCTGCTCTCAACCCTCAGGTGGCTTTCCCACTCCCTTAAAGAACAAATCCAAGAGCAAAAAAGAGTGAAAGCTGCTTAAGTGAGCCCTCTCTGACTTAATGGTTGGTTTTAAGCTAACATGTGGCAGAGAGAGAGTGAGAAAGGGAGAGAGGGAAAGAAAAGAATAGGTAGAGACCAGAATCCTTGGGAGGGCTAGTGATTCAGGGAGTTCAGACTAATGGCAATAAACTCCTCCACAGGCAAGGGCCATGTCTGCCACCCATGAAAGGAGATTGTAGCTAATGAATTGATCCCTTGGCCAAAAGTAACCAAACACATAAAGAACCCCTCAAGTATTAGTGAAACTGCAGCCATGTCCTCCAGGGGGCGCAGCTGAGCTCCACAGTTGGTCATGAAGCAGGGGCTGCCGGCTAAGCCTTGGCCCTCAGCCTGCTGCCTGAGTGATTGATGTTCCTCACCACACATGTTCAGCTCTGTCACCTTCCTGGGCCTCAGTCTCCCCCTTGGGAGCCTGGCATATGAGATCTCACCTGATCATATGGCTGGTGAGTTGACTGGATTGGTTAACCCATGTGAAGGGTGGGGTCTCACACCTTATAAACCCTCAATTATGACTTTAAATAACTGCTGCTTTGACCTCCTCCCAAATTTAACTCGACTCTCAATTGAATCCTCTTAAATTTTATTCTTCCACTCAGCTTTCTAAAAAAAATCATTATTAAGGATATTTAATTATGAAAGTCATACATGTTCAGTGTAAAAATATAAAATAAAATGGTCCAATATACAAGCATACGAAGAAACATGAAGACCTCACTCTCAGTATCTCCCTGGTCTGGCTTCCAATCCTGGCTCTACTGGCTTATTACTTAAGGAAGTTACTTGGCTTCTGAGAGCCTCAATTACCCCACTGCCAAGTGGAGAGAATTCTTCCCAACTTCATGTGTCTGAAAAGACAGAACGAGCTAAGGCAGAACCGTCCACGTGGGGAGCCCAGGGCCGGCACCTGGCTACCACGTGTCGTACCGTTTTCACCACGGCCATCATGAACTCTTGTGCAGGGTGCAAAGGAGAGCCGGGGCCGGATGGCAGGAGGGGTGAGGACGGCCTCCCAGGGCCTCCTGGGCCTCCTGGAAGCAGAGGAGACGCGGGAGAAGCCGGCTGTCCTGGAGCACCAGGTAACCATTTTCAGCTTCTCTTCTTTTCTTTGACGCCAGAGGCCTGCGGACTGTGTACAAGCCCTGCTTTCCAAACTGCTCTTATTAAAAGCATTTGCCTTAGATGTGGACTCACCAGGTGTGTGTTGGGGGGGGAGGCGGAAACAATGAGAGCCGAACAAGGATGCGTCCCCCAGTGAGGATCTAACGGATCCTCAACCATCATACAGATGAGTCAAGGTCCGATACCCCGTTTGGTATCTTCCCAAACCACTGTACATCGTCCTAAAACACCCAGCTCTTGCGGCTGTTTGCTTTGCTAGGGCAAGCCTGGCATTGTGTGTCATCACCACCGAGAGGCCATGCTGCGGACGGGGTGTTCTCCCCGTCTACGACTGGCTGAGTCATTGGCCTCTGTTTTCTGAGTTCACTTCATCTTATTGTACAAGTGTCAAAATGTTTATGTGGTATAGGAGGCTCTTAAGGGGCAAATTGGGGCGTTGGCATTGGGTGACGGGAGAGAGAAGACGTTACAGAATAGCCATTGAAATATAATGCGCCAGGCAATATGTTGGGCACTGGGGGCCCCAAAACTCCCAGGTAGGTCTCATTTTTGGAGAGGACCTGCGAGGTTGGTAATGAGAAGGCGTGAAGGGGGCTGGGGACATCTGTCACAAAATGGAGCCTGCAACCAACTTCAGCCAATTGCTGTAGGCAGAGGAGAGGGCTCAGTGCTGCCCACGCTGTGCTTTCCAAGTCCAAGGCCTCCGCCCATGCAGTCTTGAGAGTTCAAGTGCAACATGTGAGGAGGCCTGATTCAGTCCACAAGTCCTCTGGTTTACAGTGCGAATGAGGAGAGCCTGCCAGTCTTCCAGAAATGAGTTTTTAAAAAAATAAACGACTCTTGATTTCACCTTTGCTCTTGGCAATTAGAAATTGCCATTGGCCTCCTTCAGTGGGTCGGCCCCTCAGGGATGCCAAAGGAGACAGACCCTGCTTCCCATCTGCCAGCAAGAATGCCAGAACCAGGCCTTCCTCCCCCGCCCCCCCCCACCCCACCACACAGAAGAAGGTCCAAGTTGTACATGTGTGTCTCAACCCCTCGCCTCCCCTCCAGATGCCAGAGCCGTGAGAGGGTCTGGGAGGCGTCAGGAAGGTCAACTTTGAGAAGTACCTTTTCTGATGAGCAGGCTCCCAGTTCAGTCTGAGAAGGTCACCCATGTCTGGGAGGTCACATGGAAGGGGACGCCACCCCATCTTTCTCTTCTCAGCATTTCACATTTCACAGTTGGTTGTTTCTCTTATTCAAGTAGAATGTAAGCCCTGGGAATGCAGGGATTTGTTTGCTGTTTGTATGCTAACTCAGTCCGACCACCAGGAGGTGCTTGGGATGGATACCCACTGAATGGGTTGAGTGTATATGTTACAGTTGTGTGAGGGGGACGCCCCTGGGCGTAGCAGGCTCCTCTCCGCTCCCTGAGTGCTCAGAACGGAGGTGCTCAGAAGTGCTTGTTGAAACAAACCCCCTAAACTGCCTTCATTTTTTCTTTATTCCTCCAGGCCCTCCTGGGCCCATTGGGGAGCCCGGGCCCAAAGGTTTTGGGCCTGGATACCTCAGTGGCTTCCTCCTGGTTCTCCACAGTCAGACAGATGGAGAGCCCTCCTGCCCGGCCGGCATGCCCACGCTCTGGACGGGCTACAGTCTGTTATACCTGGAAGGACAGGAGAAGGCTCACAGTCAAGACCTCGGTATGCGCGTAGCACGTGGTCACCCACGCCCATCACTTAGGAGTACCGCTTTTGGGTTAATTTTACAGATTCATCCATATCTCGAGCGATCACTCATCTCCCGTGGAATTTTCCCTTTTTAAACTACCTGCTAAGTATCAATGACTCTTATTAAGTGTGTGTGATTCCTATAGGGGGCGCCAAAGAGGCTCACCCTGGCTACCGTTACTGTCATCTGGCTACTTAGGTTTTTAAAAGAATTCTTGCGGGGTGCCTGGGTGGCTTAGTCGGTTAAGCGACCGACTTTCGCTTAGGTCATGATCTCGCGGTTTGTGGGTTCGGGCCCCGCGTCGGGCTCTGTGCTGACTGCCAGCTCAGAGCCTGGAGCCTGTTTCAGTCTGTGACTCACTCTCTCTCTGACCCTCCCCTGTTCACGCTGTCTCTCTCTCTCTCTTAGAAATAAATAAAAAAAATAAATAAATAAATAAAAAATAAAAGAATTCTTGCTAAGAATATTTTAATACAAGAGTAAATTAAATTTAACTTTAAATTTAAGCTAAATTTACATTTAATTTAAAATGTAGTTTTTACTTCCAAAGGTAAGTTATTTAATTGGGACACGGTCCGTTGCTGTGTTTGCCCGTGCAACAGTGAATCACAGCGGCCGGGTACTTAGATAAGGTGGCACCAGCCCGTACCAACTCCCCCCCACATCCAGTTGGTTTTTAAATTATAGAACTTTACTCAGGGAGTCATCCCTTGGTGCTACTTGTCCATTTTTTTAAAAAAATTTTTAAATATTTATTTTTGAGAAAGAGAGAGAGACAGAGTGCAAGTAGGGGAGGGGCAGAGAGTGAGGGAGACACAGAATCTGAAGCAGGCTCCAGGCTCTGAGCTGCACAGAGCCCGACGCGGGGCTCGAACTCACAAATCATGAGATCATGACCTGAGCGAAGTCGGATGCTTAACTGACTGAGCCCCCCAGGCGCCCCTGTCCATTTTCCATAGCAGCTCTGTAAGCTACAGGAACTGATTTCAAGCCAGGAGTTTAAGTACCTTCCCAGACCATGCTGGTTGGGTGATAGGTGCAGGAGGGCTATGACAACAGAGACAGCTGATGGAGAGGGGAGCCTTGTCACTGCCCTCCCTGGGCTGTGACCCCTGCTGTCAGCAAGGGCGGGCAAGGAGAGCAGACTTAGCAATGGCAGCTACTTCCAGATCATTCTCCATTGGGCTTAGCCATGGCTATTCCCATGGAAGGCCTGGTGGGGGAGGGGGAGGGAGAAGTAATGCTTAATATCTCGGCTCTATTTACTTCTCTCCTCCTCGCCCTTCAGCTGTCAGTCTTCCTGCCTATTTTCTGTTCCACCAGCCTCCCCTGACCCTGGTCTAGCCAGAGCCTACTCACAAAGCTCTTCAGAGCCCTGGGTTAAATCTAAGCTCCTTACAAGATAGACAAAGCCCACAGCCTCCGGTCTGACTTATCTCTGGACACCCTGAGACAGACAGACACCCAGACGTCCTCTTCCCCCCTCACCAACGGAATTCCTTTGAGTTCTTTGAGCTCCACGCTTCCTCACGCCCAGCCCTCTCTGCTTTTGTGTCTTCCCCTTTGAATACTCACCATCTTCAAGCCTGGCCAAATCCTTGTCACACTTCAGGTCCTAGCAGAAAAGCATTCTTCCGCTTTTCCTCTCCGCAAGTCCCTGCACCCTGCACTTCTCAGTCACAGGGCTGGCCATGCTCTCTTCCTTGCCCAGTTGCTTAGCCATCAACCAAGCAAGGACATCAGCTTTGTGGGGACAGAGATGTGGGGACCACGCCCCTCCAGCAGCTGGCCCACTGCTTGGTTCGTGAGTGAATGAGTGAGGGAGGGCCGGCCCCAGGACCAGGGAGGTGCTGGAAACCCACCACGTCCGTGTAACAGAACACGCACCAGCAGACGGCACACCCGGGAAAGGCCACGGACACACCGGGCCGGGCGGCTCACACACCACACTGCCTTGTCCTTCCTCCCAAGGTCTGCCGGGGTCTTGCCTTCCCATGTTCAGCACACTGCCCTTTGCCTACTGTAACATCCACCAAGTGTGCCACTACGCCCGGAGAAATGACCGGTCGTACTGGCTGGCCAGCGCCGCGCCCCTGCCCATGATGCCACTCTCGGAAGAGGAGGTCCGCCCGTACATCAGCCGCTGTGCCGTGTGCGAGGCCCCGGCTCAGGTGATAGCGCTGCACAGCCAAGACCAGTCCATCCCCCCGTGTCCCCGGACCTGGAGGAGCCTCTGGATCGGATACTCGTTCCTGATGGTGAGTCCCTTGCTCGCCCCTTCCATCCGGACTGGGCAGTGGCTCCCTGGACTCTGTCGGACAGCCAGCCAGCCACAGCATTGTGGCCACGACGCCTACCACAAGCCACAGCTGGCCATTCTTTTTTTTTTTTTAATTTTTTTTTTTTTTTTTTTTGAGAGAGACAGAGAATGAGCAGGGGAGGGACAGAGAGAGAGGGAGACACAGAATCCAAAACAGGCTCCAGGCTCTAAGCTGTCAGCACAGAGCCTGACGTGGGGCTCAAATTTGTAAACCGTGAGATCATGACCTGAGCTGAAGTCAGACGCTTAACCGACTGAGCCACCCAGGTGCCCTGGCCATTGTTTATTATCGCCGACCATGTTTTGACGATTTTGCTAGGGTTCGGTAGCTGGGTTGGCTCCGGCCCTCTGAGGAGGGTGGTTCAGCCTGGTGTGCGCATCAACACGTCCTCCTTGCCTCCGCAGATCACAGTGTGTTCTTCTTGGGATGATTTTGGGGGGAAATGTGAGGTTAGGACCCGGCCTCTGCATGTGGCTGACCGGGTCTGGGGTCGTCTGCATGCATCCGAGCCCTAACTGTGTCTTTGTTGTCCTGGTAGCACACAGGGGCGGGGGACCAAGGAGGCGGGCAGGCCCTCATGTCACCTGGCAGCTGCCTGGAGGATTTCCGAGCGGCGCCGTTCCTCGAATGCCAAGGCCGCCAGGGAACGTGCCACTTTTTTGCAAACGAGTATAGCTTCTGGCTGACAACGGTGAGGCCAGACCTGCAGTTTTCCTTGGTGCCATCGCCAGACACCTTAAAAGAAAGCCAGGCCCAGCGGCAAAGAATCAGCAGGTGTCAGGTCTGCATGAAATACAGCTAGAGGACCCATACCCCGCCACCACGTCGCCACGAGAAACGCCCTTGGGGACCCAGGGGCACCCGGCCTGTGCTAAGAGATGGATGGTGCTCATTTCAGACTCCAGCTTCAGCTGTTTCTACTGTTTCGATGTGGTTTTTCCCACCATCTGTCATTCTTTCCTCTGTTCGGGACAGATTAAGTAAATGCTACCCGTATGGACTGGTTCAGACCTACCCAGCTAGATGGAACCCAGATATTCGTATGTGTTTGAGGACGACGGAAGAGCTGGCTTTGTTTAAAATTATGCTAATTCACAGGAAGGCAGAGAGATGATAAAGGCCAGATTACAAATGACATTATTGAAAATTTCATTCATTGGTTAATAGCACCTCCAAGAAGTGAAGTCAATTACTCTATAACAGAGTGGGCTTCAGGGTGGAATTTTATAGGAAAAAAATAAATAGGCCACCAAATGAAACCAGAAAGTAGAGATTTCCAACATTTCAAAATGATTTCCTCTGTCATCTCTTTTCCCATGTGCTTTAAATAACTGTAAAACCGTGACCCAAGGAAGGAGATGTAAAAAAGAAAAGAAAAGAAAAGAAAAGAACAGAAAAGAAAGAAAAAGAAAAAAGAAAGAAAAGAAAAGAAAGTCCACACAGCCAGCGTTTAACAGTTCATTTCAAAGCAGAATGAATCATTATGCCAGGAAGGACCACAGTTGCTGGATTCCGGAGATGCTACATTAGCATAAACACATCACAGATGAACATAAAACATGTTCTCTTCTGCATTTTTCAGAGAATAGAAGTGCCTACTTTGGCAACCCTTTTGAAAAGTAGCATTTATGGGAAAAAATACATTCAATAAGGGATTAGGAGCCTAAAAGCTCTTAATGAATATTGAGGCAGTGATTCACAAAAATTGACTCCCCATTGGCGTGAACTTCCAACAGAGGACATTTTCCCCAGTCGGGGTCCAGTTCGTCTTTGGGCGTGTGCGCGCTAATGGGACCGAAGCCACATGGGGCTTTTACTCCGGCGCACACAGCTCACACAAAGCATCCTGCCCTTTCCTCAGGAGCGCCTGCGGAGCCCGCGATGGACGCTTTTCCTCCAAAACATAATGGCATTTCAGACGGGGAAGTGACAGAGCCATCATTATGCACTTGGAGGAAAATGAAGGGCCGGGTTAATTAAACTTAGGTAAGAAGATTCACTGAAGCCATGGGTCGCCCCACCAGGAATATACGGTGCTATTTTAAAAGAAACCAAAAACAATCTAGAGACTGCATTTTATGTTCCTGTTGCTGGCGTTTGCAGAAGCTTCCTGTTTTCCCAGTTTTAAAAACATTCTTCTATCTTATGTCAGTATTATCTACCAAGGCAGCAGTTTGATATTTGGCATTAATATTTTCCACAAATTTTAGGAGATATGTCCATTTATAATGAATAGTTTTCTGAATAGCAAGGATACGGTTGCCTATTCTATAGGGATTCAGTGGTCCAATCCTAAAAATCAAAAGGCTTGTTGGAAATAAATGAGAGGAAATCTGCCTTTCTCATTTAAAAACATGTCATATGAGAAAAGAAACTGAAGAAATTTCTCATGAGAAAGGGATGCTCATTTTCGTGCTTAGTTTCAACGCACTTAAAATAATTGAGAGAAGAAAAACTCAATTAAGATTTTGTTTAGAAGAGATGTTTTCCTTGCCAAACATTGATTACCAGTGAGCTCTTATATGCAGAACATATTTCAAATGAGTCTTGCTGTAGGCTACTCCCAGGATGGCGATTTGTTTTAATACTTTATGGTAGAAAGGAAAAAAAGAAGGTCCACTTTAAGATGGAAGCAGAAATATTTCCTAGTTCCTTTGTCCCATTGATTGTTTTTAATCATGCTGTGGCATGTTGAATATTTCTGAGCACCTGAAATTGAAGGCAATTCCCCCCCCCCCGTTGATAATTACACTTTTCTGTTTCCAAAGTTTTATTATATGTCCCCAAACAGCAGACCTTCCAAAATTTCATCTTGTTCTTCATGAATTTGGTCTGAAAACGTTTTCTGGGAAGAGATAGGGGTGATAAATAGAACATAAGAAAGGTACCTTGCTTGCCGAAGCATTTTAAATATGTTAGGATATTATCTTAATAAGCTTGCCAAACAAATGTTTAAAAAACAGGCTGAATTGTAAGTGGGCAGTTTACTGCACAGTGACCCTGGGATGGTACTGATTGTTCCAAATACCAATATAGCAAGCACACCTCTCTAAATGCATCCCATTTCTGCCTTCCGATTTTGAAAAATTCTTTTAACTGGTCTAAAGGGCAAAACAATGGGAAAAAATAACTCCTTGGACTAGAAGACGTGCTTCACCTGGTTATGTATCAGTGTACTTTGAAATATCCTTTCTCTGTGAAGGAAGAATGAAGCTTTATGGTGGTCCTAATCCATGACTGGTGATTATCCTTATCAAAATTTCCTTCCCAGTAGCCTCCCTCCCCGACCTGGGTTGGAATGCATCTAGATGATCCAATGGGAATGGCTCTGGGTCACACAGCGGAGGATGGTATGTTTTCTTCTGGGTTTTTATTCTCAGTGAGTGGAGCCCCGTCTGTGCAGGTATCCAGGGACCCAGGCCTCCATGCTCTGAGTGGTGGCTCATTCCTTCTCCACCTGCATTTCCCACATCTAAGCTCAGTCATCACTTCCTGTGTGGATTGCTACCTTCCCCTCTGGCCTCATGGCGCCATAACATAGTCATTGGCTTTGACCCTCACTTTTGATGGTAAACATGTCCCAACTGATGCCTCTACTGCCAAATCCCAGTCGTTTCTCCGAGATGCAGACTTGATTTTGTTGTTTGGCTTAAAACTCATTCAATGACTCCTGTGTGGATGAACTTCAATTAGCTGGAGGGGAGAGGCATGTGTGAATTTCTCCAGGGAGATTTTGACTCCCTTCTACTCCCCGCAGTACAACAAATGGGCGTGGCCACTCCCACGTTCCCTCCTCGATCCTGTAAGTTCTCCTCACTCTTCCTACATGCGCCTGCTAAAGTGCAGGCCCCTCAAGGGCAGGACCATGCTTTCTTCCACTTTGTATGCCCAGTGCCTAGACAGAGCACACTACTGACGATTCCTTTTTCGATGACAGTTCAATATGTATCATTTGGCGTTAGATCCTTGCATGTAGGCTTCTCCTGGACAAAATGGTAACAAGTGTAAACCATGTCTTATTTCAAAATATTTGAATTTGACAATATATCTGCACACCCACACTCTCCTCATCACAGTTATCGACAGAAAGCCAATTGCTAAGCTTTGACCATTATCCCCTCCTGAACTATAGCTTACGTTTCCAAAACTGAAACTTTAGAAATGGTTAAGAGTCATGGGATTTGGCTGAGAGAAGGCTCTTCACTGAAATGTGACAAGACTTAACTCATGGTGTAACCTGTATTCCCTCATCATATAAGACCTTCCTAGTACAAGATCACATCTACAAAGTTTGTATACATGTTTTTGGTGCTTAGGAAAATAGTGAATGGAATACTCCACTAAAACTGGATTTTATCACATTTTATTTTGAGCCTCTTATAGATTGTAATAGAGCAAACCATTCTGTGTCTTCCAGGAAATTACATTAGATTTGTGTTTCTATCCACTCACCAAATGAATTTGGTGAGTGTTACTTTTATTCGGTATGGTTGCAAGAATAGGAGGGAAATGTGGACTTGGGAGTTGGTTTGAATCTGACTCTGTCGCTTTCCAGCTGTGTCACCCTCGGTGAGTTCCACCTACTCCCCCAGCCTCACTTTCCTCATTTATAAAGTGGGACTTAACACCTACTCTTGTATCGAAAATGAAGTTCGATGATACATTTAGCACATGTAAATCATTGTGCATTTATTCTGGTCACATCTTCTATTTAAAACAAATTAATACAAAGAAAAACCATTTCTTTTTTTCCATAGTAGAATTATATTATGATTTTCATAGGGTATATTAATTAATGATTACAATTACTTATATGTGACCCATTCTTTGTGTCTTCAGGAGTGTTCTTTTATTTCAGTTCTCAAAGTTCCTGCCCCAACCCCCACCCTGCACAGACACACTCAAAATCACAATTTCCTACAGGGACATTATCAGGAAGTTCTGCAGGGAACAAAACAATTGACATTAAAAATCAGTACTCTGCAATTGTCACTGTTATTATCTGCCAAAGACTCTGCATAATGCATTTTAAACCACAAAGGCTGGCTGCCACATCCATGTGAAATGCTTGAATTTTATGGTGCTTAAATATTTAATGATTCATAGGGGGAAAAATGTGAGATGTGTCCAATAAATCGCATCCCTTTCTCTAACCTATGGTTGTAAAGTTAAAGACTTGCAACATGGAACATTTGCAGGATTCTTGGTCTGCTACTGACACCTGAATCTGTGTTGTAGTACAAGTTATACTATTGTGCATTATATATAAAATTCTGTGATGACCTCCAAACATAGCTGTGTGTTTTATCTGGGTGAATTTCTTCTCTTTCAAGCCAAAGTACGTTTGCTTTTTGATGTACCGTGCTTCTACTGTGGAGCCAGCAGAGTATGGGAAGTGCCCCCTTTGAGGAAAAGGGTGGGATTCTGAGGCTCGAGAGAAGTGCTGGCCAGCAACGGGGTAGGTGATGGAGATGGATGGGGCCAGGCCTCAGAGCCAGAGGCTGTGTTGAGTTGCATGGGCAGTTGGCATGGGGCTCACTCAGACCCTTCAGGCCTCAGTTGTCCTATTAGCTGAAGGAGAATGAGACCACCTGCTTAACAGCGTTGTCCTGAGGATTGAAAGTTAGAGATACAACCGCAAAGAGATAAAAAGTGTAAGGAAGGCACTGTTGCTGATAAACCACAGGAACTGGAAGTTAGGGGTTAGGCATCGAGAGTCAACAACTTTTCATGCGGTTACCCTTTTTCAGTGGGAGTATTTGGCCCAGCCTCTCACCTGATAGAGAAATAGCATTTCTTGAGGACCTACTAAGTGACAGGGGCTGTGTTAACCCTGTTAAATGTGTTCCCTCTCATCCTCTGAACTATCCTATTTTATGGGTGAGAAGACTGAAGTTTAGGGAGAGTAACTTGCTCAATGTCATAGTCAGCACCCCGTAGAACTTGGACCCTGGTCTGTCACTAAAGATTATGCTCTTACCTGTTACACCATCGCCTCCCACGATCTTCCCCATTTGTGGGTTGGCTAGACAATGGAGGGCGCGATGTAGATGTCACCCTGAGGTCCTGAACTGCCCTCACTGCAAAGCCCCAGTTCCCCGGACAGTCCCCCCGGCTCACTTTGGAGACCGTTGTAACCTGTTTTCAGAGAGACGAAGGCGGGGAACCCATGAGGACAGAGTGATTTGTGGGGGGGACCCAGAAAGCATATGCCTCAGGGTCAACTGAAGATCAGCTAGGCCTCTGGAGCTCCTTAATGTCCATTCAAAGTCAGCTGTTCAGGTGAACCACTCTGAGTTGGAGGAAGAAGTATCGGGAGGCCCTTATCTGGAGGCTCGGTCATGGTGGCACCAGGCCAACTTGAATGTCGTTATTCTCCCATTTGCCAGCAAAGGCACTTCCTGTCATGCATCAGTTTGGGGAATGGCTTGCATCTTCAATGGCAAAATACCTAGTGTGTATAGTTTTATTGGCTAACCATGACATTCTCAACCAGCCATCATTTTCATCTATTTGTCTGGAAAAGTAACGTAAAAAAGAGGAGTGAAAAGTGCTTCTGGTCGCAGAGCAATCTGTCTGCTTATAACACGCACAAGAAATGGGGACAGCCCACCCTGACAGTGTGAGCAGGGTGGATCTGCTGATCGTTCTGCTCTCGTGATAAACGGGGAGTCACTGACACCTTGAGCATCTGGGATTTTCAGCCGGTCCATTTCTGACCCCCCACAGCTGCCGCATACAAGCACTTGGGATTGGTAACTTGTGTGCAGGTGCGTGGTTGCAGGTACATTCTTTCCCTCAAACTTCTTTCTGCTGAGGTCAGCCCCTCTCTTTCCTGCTCCCCGAGACAGTAACAGTGGGCGGTGATATCAGGTCCTGGCTGCTGACCCCGCGCCCCTTGTGTCACCTTTCTGAGCCTCAGGGTCCAAAATGAAAACAAGATGCCTGGTTCCCAGGCAGGATGGGATGGTGTCAGAATACCCGGCAGATAAGCAATGATCCTCTCACATGCATTTGTGCACACGGGAATCTGAGACGGATTTCGGTGCCTATCAACTACTGGAGACCAGTTCTCTCTCTCTTTTTTTTTCCCTCTTCCATGTCCATATCCTTGTTTCCCTAGTGGCGGGAACCATTAAGATCCACTGTCTTAGCAAATTTCAGTAAGGAATACAGTTATTAACTATAGTCACTATGCCGTATGTTAGATACCCAGAATTCATTTGTCTTCTAACCGGAAGCTTGAACCCTTTGACCCACATCTCTCCATCCTCCCCACCCCCTGGTTTCTGTGTTGGATTTTTTTCTTCCTTAGGATTCCACACATACATGAGATCATACAGTATTTGTCCCTTTCTTGTTCCACTAGCATTCGGTCTTCGAGGTCCATCCATGCTGTGACAAATGACGAGATTTCCTTCTCTCTAGTGGCTAATATCCCATTGTATACATATGTCACATCTTATTTGTCCATTTATGCACCCTTGGGACCTGTTACAATGCACATTATGATTCATGTGGTCTGGTGGCAGGAGTCAGAATTTCCAGCAACTCCTTGATGCTGCTGGCCCCGGGCCCACACTCTTCAAGTAGCAGGGAAGTTGGCCCTGGCGCTGTTCTTTAATGACATCCTGAAGACCCTGTTCAATGGTTTTAATGCTTATCTGTTACCAGGATGTGCAGGATATTTTCAGTTATTGATGGAGGGGTTGTGTAAAGAGACAACATCACAAGGCTAAAATGAGACAGTTAACTTTTGAGGACCTCAAATACATGCCCAGAATCTGTGAAGTCACATGCTTTTCTTTGTTTGATGTGTTCTTGTTCTTAACACTTCCCTCCAGATACTACGCAGGGTATTTAAAAGGAAATAAAGTGAGAGATACAACTTCCTGGCAGAAAGCCTGGCTAGTGGCTGAGCAGCTGGTGTCAATGCTTAGAAAAGGGACCCGCATCCCCGCATCAGGTTCAGTTTACAGAGGGCCATGCGGCAGAGTGTGGTTTCGCAGGGTTTGCTTGTGTGGGACCCAGATTCCAGGAGTCTCTCTTATCACCTCATTCTCTTCCCAAGCACCAATATGTATTACCAGCAAATTTAATGATTTCTAGTAGTGTCGTTTCAGCTTTCCGTGATAAAGCGTAAATCCTATGTTCAAATCTGCCGGCTCGTTTCTGTCATCTGAACTAGATGTCAAGATCACTCTCCCCTGCCCCTAAATACAACAGAAGGGGGAAATAAAGGTTAGCATGGACACATCAAAAGCATTCCTGCCAAAGTACAATGGCCGGATTTGGTGGTATAGACAGGGAGCCCTCAGGGATGCCTTTTGGATATACTTGGATCTTGAATTTTGTGCAGTGACAGAGGGCGTGTCTTCAGACTCATGCAGGAGGGCAGTCATCCCTCCCCACCTTCTGATCAGTAGGCACGCCACCTTTGGAAGCCTGGGAAAGGTCTGAAATTCTTCCCATGGGCATATCCTTTCTTTCGAGTTACTCCTTTCTTGATGTGATTCAAGAAACCACAACAATATCACTTAGCAACACCCCCACCTTTTCTTATGTGCTGCCGGTGATGGCATAAATGAGCCTCTCTCTGTTTCAAAACACAGGCATTTATTGGTTCTGATGCTACAGACACTGTTGGAGGTACTGTGAGGTGATACACAGAAACGGTCATGGTCCCTGCCTCATGAGGCTTACAGTCTAGAGAGAAAAGACATTCTTTCACTGCAGGATACCTAGAAATTGCAAGAGGACTGTGAACACAGCCCAACAAGAGTAGTGGATCTGGGCTACGGTATGTGGGGGCAGGACAGGGAAGGGCTGGATGGGCTGAGCGAGAGGAAAAGACTGTCCTACGTAAAAGCACATCACAGGGAGGTCACAGGGTAAGCTCATGCCTTAGACAGGGAGACCAGTGAGTGGGAGAGCAGACTCTGTTATGGATAAGTGGGGATGAGGTCGAGAGGCTGGATGGGGCCTCACGGTCAAGGCTGAGGAGCCTGACCTTCATGCTTTGGCAACAAAGAGATAATAAAGGGTACTGAGATGACAACTGGCCATCACAAGAGTCCATTTTGGAAGATTAACGGCCAGAATGATGTAGAGCGAGTGGAGAGGTATTTTAAGTCTCGCAGAGCAATGAATTGAGAAATTTTAAGGTCCTCTAAGCAGAGAGACTGTGATTCTAAAATGCAAGACAAGACTAGGAGGGAAAAAAAAAATCAGGCAACGACTGCAATACCCGATGGGAAGGGAAAGGCACAACTGTATATAGAAGGTTTTATAAAAATGACTAATTGAACACAACTCTATTGAATACTGAACTTCTCAGGAGAAACAGAAGCCTGGGAACAAGGAGACCAGCACTGCCACACCTTGTGGTCTTACAGTCCGTTGTGGGTGGCGGGTCTCATCTCTCATACATCCACTCCCCAGTGGCAGAACAAGGGTCAGGTAGACACTCTGACCCCGGTCCCACCAAACCCTGCCATTCACTGCTGGCCTGCACCGCGGCCAGGATGGAGGGAGCTATAACTAGTGTGTACAACTTAGGGATCACAGGCAAAGAACGCGCTCGAGGTCATTGCAAGGAAGCAACTGTAGCCATCCCCTCATCTTGGGAAGCACAGACAGACTCTGCCATGAGAGCTCTCCTAGGCTGACTGCCCACAGCCAAAGTACGGCAACCGGATGCTTCACAGACAATCAGGAGATCACTACAGGCTAAACTACACACCAAACCTTAAAAACAGCCCTAAATTGCTTATCTTCTATGAGAGATAATTCATCTCCTACACTTGCTTTTGTTTGTCTTTCTCAACCTCATTCCAGTGTGTTGACATAATTCTGGGGGTTCCTTACTGCAGGAAAAAAATTAAGAGGGACACTGAAAATAAGAAGCATTAGTCACAGGCCAGTCTATTAACAACAAAGTAATTATCCTAATTTTCAGAATATCTTCGTTGTTGTGCTAAGGTAATTGGTTTATAACTAAAATGACCTCTCCCACATCTCTACAGTTGAATGGTGTTCCATTCCATAAAGAAAGAAGGTGTGTGCATTATAGGACTTCTACCCTGCAATATCCGATTCCAGTGTCTTGGTATCTATTTGATAATACAAATACAAGAAGGAGCCACTGCTATCAGACTCAACAGCAATGAAGAAAAGCACTTCCATACACAGTGGCTGGACTTTCAGTGTAACAGAAAGAGCACTTTGGTGGGAAAACATTCAATGAGTACCTCCCAGGAGCCAGGACCAGCCTCTGGGTGGTGGCAGGGGCGAGAGAGACAGTACAGAAAGATAAGACCCAGTCCCTCATCCCAGAGCCCTTCACAATCCCCGCTCCCCGTGCAGAAGACATGTTTTTGAGTAGATGTGCACAAACAAGAACAGGGCAACACACCAGTGTTATCATAGAACTGCCTTTACAAAGAGCTAGGAGAAGACGGTCTGTAAGAATGAGGTTATTGCTAATAGGGAGAATGAGAGTCAGATCCATAGAGTTTGGGAGCAAGAGAAGTGACATTTGAACACTTTAACATGTTTAAGGCTATCAGACTCACAGACACAATTCATATAATAAACAAGCCATATGTAGCTTCACGCTGATTATAAATTAACCCGCGGAGCCCAGCTGTCATTGTGCAGGTCAGAGCGCTCCCAGGATTCAAGGGTTTTCTTAGCTCATTTGTAAGCAAGGTCAGTGCCTCTCACAGATCAATCGGATTAGGGACTGGATACAAAACTGCATAGTTGGTGTGCTTCAAGTTCGTCAAATGTGTATGAAGAAAAACTGAAAAAGTAATATCCCCAAAATGTTAACCTTGTATACCTAGTGAAAATGTAATCAATTTTAAAATGGTACAAGTACTTATATTTGTTTCTATTATGAATTTTCTCAGTGGAGACACAGTCCTTATTCAGTCTATTTTCCTAATTATATATTTCTGGCTTTATTATTATATAAATCAGTTTTACTGGTTGTAAAAGTAATATATATACGTACAAATACACACTTTTTTATTTGACAGAGAGAGAGAGAAAGGCATAGAGAGGGAGAGAGAGGATCCCAAGCAGACTCTGCGCTCAGCACAGAGCCTGATGCAGGGCGTGATCTCACAACTATGAGATCATAACCTGAGCCGAAATCGAGAGTCGGACACTTAACCGACTGAGCTACCCAGGTGCCCCAATACACACATTTTTTTTAAAAAACACTGCAATATAAAATTGTAAAAAACCAGAGAGCAAAATCGTATGTGCCCTACCCCCAAAGATAACCTCTGTTAACATATGGGTAGACTGCCTTCAGATGTTTGCTTTATGCATATATAAGGCCCATATATTATTCTTGTGATCATAAAACTATATATAAATGCTAAAAATATCAATGAAAATAGGAAGATCCTTTTCTGCTTTAACTCTCTTTAAAGGTAAATATCTCAGTGACAATAAGACAGCAGTGATATGACTGTGTCTTTTTATTCTCAAAGCACAAGCACCAGGAAATAGTTTATATGACGCAGATGGCCTGTGGGCTCTAACAGCGAGGGGTGCTGGGGGTGTCCTGGACCCCTGGTCAGGACAAGTGGCTGTTACAGTAGCCATTTTAAAGGCACTTTTATGGCAAAAAAAAAATACTTCCTCGAGAGCTTTCTCAGTGACCAGCCCACCAAACGAGCTTTGCTCTGCTAGTAGCACCTGCTGCTGCCTGCTGGCTGGAGCCCGAGTCACGAGCTAACCCGAGTCACGTCTCTGAGAACCTCTGCTCTCACTGGGGAGGCCACTGTGAGCCCAGAATGTGGGTGCCACCTGATATCTAATGGAGTGCGTAGGTGGTTCCCCCACCAGGGTCTTACCCAAACTTTTGAGCCCAACGTTCTCTAAAGACAAAGCCATGGAAGAACAAATCAAGTATGCTGTCAATGCCACCCGGACATGGGCACCCAGGGAGCCGAGGCGCCTGGGCCAGGGTGACGGGAACAGCAAGCTGGTACAACGGCCGCATCATGTTTCCTGGAAAGTCATCATGGCACCGTGGCGGGAGGAGGGAGGGCTTCTCTCCTCCCGCCAAGGCCGACATTGGGCGCGCGGGCAGAGCCAGGGGCCTGATCTTCCAGGCTGCTGAAAGTCACAGTCTTCAAAACCGGAATGAGCCAGCCGCCCGTGGAAGGAGTGTGGAAACCGGTCCCTGTGCGGCGGCACGGACCCTCCACCCGCGACACAGGATGAGGCCGGGAGGAGGGCCGCTCCCAGACAGCTGTGGGCTGCTTCCACCAGGGTGGTTTCAGCACAAGGCGATCTGCTTGCGGACACAGACCCACAGGGGCCGCGGGGTGATGAGCAGAGGCAGATGTGAGAAGATGCTATACTCCGCTTTCCTTTAAAGTAGGGGCTCGGGAAAGGAGGGACCACACGGGCAGTAATCACATGGCTGGACTCTCTTGCCCAACGTGCGGTGCCCCCTCACTGGTTGTCAAACCTGCGAAGCCGCTGCCTCCTCATTTCTTCTTCTGGAGAGAGACGGAACCCGTAGGGCGAGGGGCCCAGGTGGCTGTTTCCTGCAGTGAGAAAACACAAGGGAGACTCAGACACTGCCCATCTGTCATTCTGACACTCACAGGGCGTTGCTTCCTAGGCTTCCAAGGGGGAGGGAAGACGATGGCTTGGGTGTCATCTACCCTTTAGCACGAAGCAGAAATGTAACAAACATATTTCAACTTGAGCTGTCAATACTAAGTTTCAACATCAAGTAAATACTTTTAGTGCGGTCCAGCCTAGGAGTCTAATCCAATCCTTTTGAAGATTCTTGACACATCTCCCCATTTTTATTTTTTCTTCCATCATGCTTCACAATCTGCATCATCTGGCTTCTACAACGTCTCAAGGGCTTTATTTTATTTTATTTTATTTTATTTTATTTTATTTTATTTTATTTTATTTTATTTTTTTATGTGCAGAAGTGTCTTGTCCCTGTTTCAAGCTTCCCCACCAAGTATGCTGGTTGATTTCTCTTTTCAGCCTTTGGGTAGCCCTCTCTCCCTGCCTCTGCCCAGCTGCCACCCTCAACACTCCCCCTCCCCCCCTGCACCCCAGCCAGTGAGAATCAAGCCTGCTTGAAACATACAAACACCACCGAGCATCTGAGCATCCAGGGCCACACAGCAGGGACCCAGTGACCATGCTGACCAATTATCTGGGAGGGCAGACAAAAATGCAGGCTTAACACCTTAAAAGTCATCTGGAGGACCATGGAAATCATCACTGAAAAAGGGTTTCTACTCATTCGCCAAGACTGGTAACTTTTCAGAGGTGTTCCCAGGTAATCTACATTGATATGAATGCTGTTAAGACGAAGATAAAAAAAAAAAAAGAGCTGGAGAGAGAGCAGTGTGAAACTAAGTTAAGCTGCTCACAAAGGAAGACAAACGCTGTATGATGTCACTTACATGTCAAGTCTAAAAGACTGAACTCATAAAAACAGAGAGTATGGGGCGCCTGGGTGGCTCAGTCGGTTGAGTGTCCAACTTCGGCTCAGGTCATGATCTCACCACTCCTGGGTTTGAGCCCCGCATCGGGCTCTGTGCTGACAGCTCAGGGCCTGGAGCCTGCTTCGGATTCTGTCTCCCCCCTTCTCTGCCCCTCCTATGCTCATGCTCTGTCTCTCTCTCTCTCAATAATTTTAAAAATGCTAAAAAATAAAAAAAAAAACAACAGAGAGTAAATGGCAGTTACCAAGGGTGGGGGGTGGAGGGGGTGGTGGTGGAGGAAGTGAGGAGATTCTGTTTAAGGGCTACAAACTTGTAGCAAGAAGATAAATAAATCCTGGAGTGCTAATGCCCAGCACTGTGACTGCTGTCTGCAGTCAGTATTACTGTATTAGAAACTCCCAAGTTGATAAGAGGCTAAATCAACTGTTCCCCACACAAAAAAGAACTGATAAATAGGTGACATAATAAAAATGTCGGCTGATGCTGCGGCAGTAATCATATAGCAATATATAAATGTATTAAACCAACGTGTTGTGCACCTTAAGTTTTTTTTTTTTTTTAATGTTTATTTATTTTTGAGGGAGAAAGACCGAGTGTGAGTGGGGGAGAGGCAGAGAGAGGGAGACCCAGAATCCGAAGCAGTTTCCAGGCTCTGAGCTCCACGCAGGACTCCAACTCATGAACTGTGAGATCATGACCTGAGCTGAAGTCAGATGCTCAACTGACTGAGCCACCCAGGCGCCCCTGTACACCTTACATTTACACAATGCTATACATCAATCACATCTCAAAAAAAGTCTGTCTACTCGGTTCATGACAGGAATTTCAGCTGTCAGACGATGAGAAATTTTGAAAAGGCAGTCAAAAGGTAACTCCTTCCCCCCCCCCCCATTTTGTTGTTGTTTACTCTTATCTGGTTCTCCTTTCTTTTGAGACTCTGGGAGAATTGCCCCTCCTGGATACCCTGTGGGCCTTCCTCACGAGGAGACCCAAAAGTCAACTAGGCAGGCCTAGCTCCATCCTCACTTCGGGCTAAACTTGACTCCAAGGCTTCTTGGTAGTGTAATTTATGTCAGTTTATCAACCTTCATTAAGGATGGCATTCAAACACAGCACAGGCTTATAAGACTCCCACTGTAAAGAGTTTATGAATACTATTAAGAGTTTGGGGGCACCTAGGTGGCTCAGTTGGTTAAGCATTTGACTTTGACTCATGTCACGATCTCACAGTTTACGGATTCAAGCCCCGCTTTGGGCTCTGTGCTGACAGCTCCGACCCTGGAGCCTGCCTGGAATTCTGTGTCTCCCTCTCTCTCTGCCCCTCCCCTGTTCTCTCTCTCAAAAATAAATAAACATTAAGCAAAATTTATAAAGAAAAAGATTAAAAGTAACCAGATACAGCTTTTGCTATATGTATCTGAAAAGTAATTTGTCTTTGTTTCAACGTGGCAAACGCCTTGACATTACAGAGAAACTCATGAATCCAATTACCATTAGTTTATTGCTTGAAACTGTTTCGTGTGAGGAGATCCAAATCCTGCTTTCCCTTCAACAGTTGTTTGCAACAATAAGGCTATTCTTAATTGCACTTGGGAGCGCAGGCCAGCGCGTGACACCCCCGTTCCAGCGTGGCGGTTGGGGGGGGGGGGCGCGAGGAACAGCCATGGGCAGGATCAAGGGCAAGCTGGACGTGGCATGTGGAGTCTGGGCCACGGCGCATGCGCCCATGGGAGCTGCAAGAGTGCTCAGCCTCCCAAAGGAAATCACGGTGGCCACAGGAAAAAGGCGGAGGGCTGACGCATCCATGGAGGGAGGGGCAGGGAGGAGCTCAGAGCTGGGGCTGTAGGGCTGCTGGGGCCCAAGCTCTGAAAACGAGCAGCCCGCACAAGTGCACTTTGGACGTGCGCACAGGGCAGTCGGGGGGCGCGGGGACGAGCCAACAGAAGTGCCACGTACTCAAGCAGAGGACTCACATCAAGGAACGACGATCGCGCAGAGCTTTTTTAAGGCGCCCTGTTTCAGTCAGCTTTCACTCCCAGTTGTAGGATCCCAAGTTAACAGGCGAGGAAACTGGCTCACGGAGTGTTGGGGACACACACAAAAGGTCACGTCTCCCCATTTTTCCCACGACGCCCGCACTGACGTCTTGCCGTCCCCATGCGCTCAAACCCACACGGATACGTGGGGAGCTCGTGACATTTGGACACAGGAAAAGAAGACCCAGCCTAAAGCCTTCAACTCTACGTGACTCTGCGGTCACCGCAGATATGACGACAAGGTCCCCTCAGGGGCCCCCTGAAATTCCTAGCTTTCCAGGACCAGCAGAGGGCGCTGATCGTCACGGTAACACAATTAACACCCAGTTTGTAATCAGGCTCAGTTTTATGGGTATTTAAGCCTGTGCTTTGGGTCAGTGCCACCCTGCTATCCATTCACGTCTCAGCTAAGCTCTGCCTTCCAACCCCTGCTTTTCATTTACTCTTAAAACCATTTCTGGCCTTTCTCAGGGGGTCTTAGAAATGTTTGCAATATATACTTTCATCTTTTTAAGTTTATTTTTTTGAGACAGAGAGACCTGAGGAAGAGGGAGGAGTGGAGAGAGACGGAGGGAGGGAGGGGGAGAGAGAGAGAGAGAGAGAGAGAGAGAGAGAGAGAGAGAGAGAGAGANAGGGCTCAAACCCACAAACTGTAAGATCGTGACCTAGCCGAAACCAAGAGTCGGATGCTCAACCAGCTGAGCCAGCCAGGTCCCCACATTTGTTACGCACTTGGCACAGATGTGGACGGGCCTCCGCTGGGTGGTGGGAGGCGATGCAGCCCCATCCCCAGGATGTGATGTTCGTAGGGCATCAGCAGATGTTTCCAGCCCTGCCTGGAACAGGAGGGGACATCCTGGGCCAGTATCCATTTCGCAGGTTCTAGTAGGCTCCTTTGTGAGGGGAGGCCGCCCAACCAGGTGACCGCTGGGTCCCTTCCACGACTGTGTGGTCTCACCACCTGGGATGAAATCCCCACCCCTCCACTCTTAGCTACACAGCCCTGAGCAAGCTGCTTATCCTCACGTGGCCTTAGCTTCCCTGTCCATAAACTAGGAATAAGGAGGGATTCCTTTGCTGGAGTGCTGAGAGGCAGGGGAGAAAAAAAAACAAAACGTGGCACATAAAATGCTTAGCTGAGCCCCGGACATGCAGTCAGTGCCTGATGAGTGCTGGTTGGTATAATTTTTCATCTCTAACATCATCGTGAATCATGTGTCACATGCCTACGTGTTAGTATTGCTAACTTAACTCGGTATAAGACACAAAATAAAATGATTTCTTAAAAGACAGCACCCAATTCTGCTGGAAGCCCATTTGGCAGCATTTTGTATCAAATGAGGAGCTGCTGCTTACTAAATATTTGCCTTCTAAGAAACAGATACCAAAATGAAAGGTGATTAAGAGAGAGAGGTAGGCTTTTCAGTCGCTGGCAAAGCTGACGGACCCAGCCAAGACCTTTCCCCTGCAGAGTTACACCATGCACTGGACATCTTACAGCACTGGGTGCGACAGCCCTGCTCTGGTGAACTGCTCTGGTGAATTAGTATGTATGAGCCTCGCTTCCATGTCCCTGTAAATGGAGGTCAGCCCTCGATGTTACTCAAAGGAACAGTGAGCATGCTTCAAAGGACCTCAGGAACAGTGCCCAGTTTAAGATGATTTAGCTCAATTATAGCCCCAGTAGTGAGGTCATAAGATTTATTGACTCATGGTTCTTGATGGAAAAAATTTCAGTTCTCTACCCTTATGTATAATGCAGTCACCTCTGTATTTTACATCTGAGGGAGGAGAGGCAATTTCACCCAGAAAAGAACTGCTAAAAGGAGCGCCATGAGTTGATGGCCATTTCCCCTCCTGGTCGCCATTCCTGTAGAGATGTTTAATTTGCTGGTATTCACGGATCCTGCCCATGATCTGAAGACGACTCTGTACCAGTGAAATGAGACTGATGTGCGTCACAGGATGGAATATCCACAGGATGAGGGAGCTAAAAAAGGCCATTGCTCTTTAAAAAAAAACAAAACAAAACAA